GGTAAGTGGACAAAGACAGTGAGAAGGAGGGAGTATTTCACGTATTAAAATAATTAAGCATCATAGATTGACTCTCACAATTTGGGAACCCAACATTTTAACCCTTAATATTATGATTAATATTCAAACACACACACATTATATTATATTTTAAAGCTATATTTTAAAATTAATATAGTGATTTTAAAGTGAATATATACTCCATATTATTAGCCATAATACAAAATCTATATTATTATTATTATTATTATTATTACTCTGTATTATTATAACCATCAGAGCAATAATCTTTTGACATTGAACATTCAATGTTAAAATGTCTCAGGGCACCTATGATGTTTCCTTAGTAAAATAATATTGACGGTTCCTATCACCCCTCCAAACCCCCAGCACCCTCCCATACTTACCGCATTGACAATGAATTGGGAGTTCCAAATCGACGATCACGGGTAGAAACTATTAATTATTCTAACGAAACATCGTAGGTGGCCCGGGAGATTTCGGTATTATTGAAATATCCAATGACAAAAGAACTAATTAAAGTGTGTATGTTATTAATGTAAATATAAAAAATGAAAAACAGATATGGGTGGAATAAAGATGGGAGAAGGGAAGAAATGCTTCGGCAAGTTTGGAGGATGTTGGGCGGAGGCTGCTTGTGCTGCCGCCTGCCAAACCCAGGGATACGCCGCCGGCAAGTGCTCCACCGTCCTCCGCCATTGCTGCTGCCACTGATCCGGCCACTTATCAACACCTACCATGCATGCATCAAAGCCACCACTCTTTCCAATTTTAATTTATTCAGTTCTTAAATGTAGACATTCGATCTAATTGGCATAAATAAGCAATTATGTTTTGTTTCTAATATACGGAGTATAATTTAAATTCATATACACATCAGGAATGTTATTTTGTTTCCCAATCATTTCCTTTTCTTTCTTTCACTACAAAAAAAGGAGGCAATACCGACAGGGGTCAATCTGTCGCTAAACATTGAATATCTGTCGCTAATCGCTTTTACTGACAGATAATTGTCTGTCGCTAAAAACTCCGTCAGTAAAAGTATTACCGACAGATAAAATAGACTGTCGCTAAAATAATGTAATAGCGACAGACCAAAGATGTCGCTAAAAAAGAGAGAAGTACCGACAAAACATATATGTCGCTAAAACATGGATTACCGACAAAAAATAGTGTGGGTAAATCCTTCTTTTCTGTCGGTAATGCCTTGTTTTTACCAACATTTACATTTATTATAACTGTCGCTAAAAGTTAGATTACCCACAAAAAATCACGTGAGTAATTTATTTTTTTCTGTCAGTAATAGTTTATTTTGACAATGATTACCATTTATTATAATTGTTACTAATACCATGGTTCACACCAACATGCTCTATGTAAGTGATATCAAAGAATATTATTGACAAATAAAAAATAATATTCATACTTGTATTAACATAAATACATAATAGAATAACTGGTCAAAGGGTTAAAACTAACACATTTACTAGAAAGTAAACCAAAATCTCAAGATTAGTTTATCATTTGCACTTTCAAGCTCAATATAAAGAGTCAAAGTGAACTAAATTAAAATACGCGTTGCTATGGAAGATATTGTCCAAAGCTTTAATGCTCGACACTGTATACATCTTCAAGTTCAGTGCTCTCAACTTCATCATCTTTGTTCCATCGATCATCATGACTTTTCTCCGGGGTTGTATTACCATCAATTGTAAGGTCATCAATTTCAGATTGATTATCCGTTGAACCCTATGCAAAATAAATAAATGATAAGCGCATGATAACATAATTACAAATTTTGCACCAAATTTACCTTACACTCATGCTAGGTGTCAATATTTTAAACTATATAATGAACGAAGCAAAAATCAAATAAAATATGGGTAGTTAACAATGATAGATAGAGACTAACCACGGTATTTAAAACCAATGATACCACAGCTTCTAAATTCTGGAGTCTTTCTTTTGATTTTCATGCTCTTGTTAAATTTTCAAGCGTCAATCCAAAATATTGACTCAATTGATTGGGTAGCACTGTCCGGCTAAGTACACAATTGGTGACATATGTGACTATGGAATACTTAACGATGTGTCTACTTAACGATGAATTCGTTATGATGAGATCATTTGGTTCAACCGAGAGCTCACCGTTACACACTTGGCACCAATTCCAGCTCCAAGTGCATTAAATTGTTGACAGATTTGAACTGCAAGTTCTCTGGAAGAGGAGATAAAGACAACTCAGACAATGAGGTCATAAAAGGAACTTAGGAGAAAAGAGTAAAAGAAGCCACAAACCTAGTCAACGAAAGCACGCACGCAAAGAATGCGTAGCTATTGGGCGGATCGGCTGGGGATGCTTTGCGGGTAGGAGTGCTTGCATTATGGGAATTGCAAAACCTCCAGTCTTTCCTTGGCCCGTCTGTGCAACCCCAATTATATCTCTCCCTTAACAACAGATACCCATTTCAATTACAGTATTGATTTAGAACCTCAACAAATATTGCATGAAACTTAAAAAACAAAACTAAAAATGGGATGAACATTTAAGAGCATGAGGAATAACCTCAGCTTGAACCTTAGAAGCGGTTTTCCCGCCCAAATTGTGGCAAGCCTCCATAAGTTGATTGCACACTCCTAAAAGTGTAAAACAACTTTTTTTCAAGTTCTCTTCCCATATGTTGAAAAAGAAAAGTCACCAAGTTCAAAAACAAAATTCTCCAAAGTGTTGATGAAAGGATATAGAGACACCTAATTGCCACCCCGGGGCTGCCGAACAGTACAATAGCTACCGGATCATCTTGGCAATCCGCCGGACCAACCAAGCAGCCCCATACCCCAACCCTGGGCCCACCAGGGAACTGTCCACTACTGGGCAGCCCTGTTGCCACCCGGGGCTTGACAAATCGGGCCCAAGATCATCCAACAGTCACCCATCAACCACAACTCACTCCAAATATACCCAATTACAACCCAATAGCATCCAATTAATTCCAGATCAACCCATTTACATACAATTGAACCTAAATCAGCCCAATTGCATCCAATTGGAATCCCAGACAGCCCCAAGGTAATCCAAGCTGACTCAAATACACCCAAACAGACCCGATTAAACCTAGCCCAACTGGACCAATTTGGCTCAATTCAACCTGCCCAGTACTATTCCAAAACCAACCGACCCACTACCGCCATTCCATCAGCGACCCGCAAGGGGTTTCGCCGGAAAATCCAACCCAACACAATCCCCAATCAATTGAACATCTAATTGACGACCCAATTAACACAATCAATTGCACGATCTATGCAAATACGATTCTAATCTACAAATTAACGCTAACGATAGACATATGAACATGACTCACCTTGATAATCGAGGGAATTGAAATTAGGGTTAAAGAACCGGCGCTACAAATTCCGCCGGCGTTGCTGCACGAAGAGCGAGAACGGAAGAACGAAGAGGACGGCGACTTAAGATGGCGGCGATGTCCAGAAATAATGACGACGGAAGAATCAAAGAGAGTCGGCTTCCTATCCGGTTTATCGCTCGACAGAAAAGAATGGAAGGGAAAATCGGTGATCCGGCGGAAAAGAATTATAACTGCGCAACTCCTTATTACTCCGTACTTTACCTGCGCAACTGCTATCTGGTCCAATAACATTTTCCTAACTTCAATTAGGATTAGTTTGGGTCCAATTACCTATGATTAGTTTCAGAACAACAGAACCTACAACACTGGGTAACTTGTCACAAAAAGGGAAATTCCAAAATTAGCCACGTTCGAGTCCAGGTCAGTATTTATTTATTTATTTATTTATTTAGTTAAAATACTAAGGCGGGTTTTGAGGCATTATAACTTTGGGACACAATTAAAATTTAAATTGAAAAAATGGTTTTTATTATTAGAAATTTTAAATTTTAGTGTTTAGTTCCTTCAAAAAAATTAGTGGTTAGATTATGTTTTTTAAGTTTTTTAATTTAAGTGTGCCCATTTTCGAAAAGGTCTCGGCGAGACCCACTAAGGCCCGATCGGTCTAAGACCTATCGGAATCCATCTTCAATCCAAAATCTTACTTTTTAGATCGTTGATTTTGTAGTTTCGTCTTTTTTGAGTCTTTTCCTACTTGTTTACAGTTTTTTAGCTATAAATGCCTTACTTGTGAGCGGTTTTATGCAGACTTGGTATGACAGTTACTTCGGTTTTTGGTTTCCGGTTTCATGCTCAATTCCCTGATTTTTGGTTTCCAATTTGCGGTTGACCGTCATATCTTATAACCGCATTGGAAATGGTTAAGAATCCCTACTTTATTTATTATTCTACATCAATAATATGAATAATTCTACATATCTCCACTAGCGTTTTCATCCCTCTCGTTTTAAATTTGTTGATTTGTTCTTCTATTCGGTCAGTTTAGTCCTTTAGTTTTAACGTATAACTTAAAAATTCGAAATTAAAAATTATAATTTTTAATTTGTAAATATTCAATGTAAAAAAATTATTTTTCATCTTTAATTTTTAGTTTTTTATCTTTTAAAATTGTAATTCATTTCCAATTTCGTGACCTCAATTTCATGCACTAAATGATGCCCAATTTTATGGTTTTTTATAATTAATATTTTTAATTTAAATGTCAATAAAATCAATACCGACAGATAAAATAATGTTGCTAAAACCATAAACAATACCGACAGTTAAGTTGTTGTTGCTAATACTATAAACGATACCGACAGATAACTTTTTTGATGCTAATACTATAAACAATACTGACAAATAAAGTTTTGTCGCTAAAACTATAAGCATTACCGACAGATAAATGTTTGTTGCTAAAACTCTAACTTATAGCGACAGATATTACTCTTTCTGTGGGTCAATTAATTTTTTCCTTCAAATAATTTTATCTGTCGGTAATATTCTCTTTTTAGCGACAAATAAGGTTTTTGTCGCTAAGGATCTGTCGGTACTGCCCTCTTTTTTTGTAGTGTTTTAAACATTAGTCTTACTTAAAAAAATAAAATCATAGATACAATTAATGAAATAAATGAGTTAATCAAAAGAAATTAAACTTCCAAAAATTATGCTAGGGTCTCCAAAAATTGAACACCACTTACAAATTGGAAAAAAGACTAGAGTAAGAGTAAAATATTGAGAATACATCAAAATATGAGTTTTATATTTTTATTCTCAAAATGCAAGTTAAAATTTATTTACAGTGTCAAATATGACCATATAGATTATCAAAAAATATAGGAAAATGTCTATGTACAGTGTGACATTAATATAGTATAAACTTCTATATAGAGAATAAAAGCATAGAGCTTCATTTTAATACTTTTTTTTATGTTTTACTTCTATTAAGAGTGATTTCTTTTTCAATTTCTCACATACACACATACATCTTCTGTCCTAAAACTTCTTTCTCGATTTGACTTGGTACGGAAATGAGGTGTAATTGCACATTCATTACATAGGGGTATAATTGCACATTCATATAAAAAATTGTCTAAGTAGGAAACGGGAAAATTTTTTTTGAACAATCCAAAATGGAAAGTGAGAAAAAAATTAATGGACAAAAAGATACGGAGTATAATATAGGAAAAACACCTTAGATACGAGTAAAAAGGCTATGAAAATACCAAAATATGACTCATAAGCTTTTTAAGACCAAAATACGAGTTAATATTGCTATTGTTACAATACTACCTACACACCACATTGTCATATTGTAACTACTACACTACCACCACGATACTACTATCTGTCGCCACCGGCCACGAGATTGCCGACATGAATCACTGATAGTTGACTAATCACATTGTCATCAATTTTTATATTACACTATCAACACATACTTTTTTACATTACACTCCATTATACTTCTATTTGCGTCTTAAAAAATTTAGGACTTTTAGATTTTGTTATAATATAGAGAGTAATTAACAAATTTGCGGTGCACATAGTGCCAATTTTTTTGGTGTCTCACAAAAAATTTTGTTACTCAAAATGGTTTGGTCACATCCTATTCCACGGATCACTCGCAAAAATGAAACCAACTCCACCAGCGCTTCTTCTCTGCTGCGTCTTATTTCTCGCGGGATCCGGCGCCGCCGGGCGGCGACCCCACGTCATCAACTTCCGATCAGAGAACCTGTTCCCGGAATCCTTCACGTGGGACCCGCAGTCCCAGCACTTCATCGCCGGCTCTATTCGCCATCCGGTGCTCGTCTCCGTCTCGGACGCAGGTGTCTCCGAGACCCTAATCTCCGACGCGTCTCTTCCCCCAAATTCTTCGATCCGCGGCATCGCCCTGGACCGCGTCCACCGCCGTGTCCTCGCCGTCGTCCACCTCCCTCTGTCCCCCGGATCTGCGGAACCCTTCAACGCTCTCGCCGCCTACGACCTCGTCTCTCTCCGACGCCTCTTCCTGGCGCCTCTCCTCGACGAAGACGAGACCAACCCCATCTCCGCCGCCGCGAGCGCCGTCACAACAGATTTCTCAGGCAACGCGTACGTCACCGATTCCGGGAGAGATCTCATCTGGAAAGTCAGCCTCGACGGCGGAGCTTCCGTGCTCTCCAGATCCAAGTCGTTCGGGTCGGATCGGGTCGACCCCCTCAAACCCGGCCTAAACGGCGTCGTTTACAGCTGCAAAGGATACCTCCTTGTGGTCCAATCAAACACCGGGAAGCTCTTCAAAGTCGACGCCGACACCGGCGGCGCAAGGGCCGTTCTCCTCAACAAAGAATTATCGGAGCCCGGCGGAATCGCCGCCAGACGCGACGGCGTGGCGGTGGTGGTCAGCCGCCAGAAGCTGTACTTCCTAAAGAGCCACGACGGCTGGATGGAGGCAGCGGTATTTGACGAAACTGCCCTCGAAGAAGAGAGCTTCGCTTCGGCGGTGACGGTGGGGGATGAGGACAGGGTATATGTGTTATATGGGCATGTCGACGAGGGCAGCATGGTAAATGCGGGAAGGGATGATTTCGTGATAACGGAGGTGGAATCAGAGACGGAACGGCGTGGAGATAGCGTTTGGATATTTGTCGTGATTGGTTTGGGTTTTGCATATTTTATGTTTTGGAGATTCCAAATGCGGCATCTTGTGGACAGTTTGAACAAGAAAAAAGTTTGATGGAATTCGAGGGAAAATGAGAATACATTTTCATGTCTTTGGTAGTTTGGTGTCTTTGTGGGACTCAATTAAAAAAAATGTAGGGATTAGATATTATTCTCTCCAAATGTTTGGTACATTCATTTTAAAGTTCCAACCTTAATTAGAAAATAACTTCAAAACTAAGGATTCGTTTGAGAATAATATTTTTGATTAGCGTTAGCATTTTATATAAAACGTTAACGGTGTAGATTAATTTTGACAATACTAACGCTAAACATTGTCAATTGATAGCCTTTTCAAAATATAACGCTAAACTCTAATGTTATTCCCAAATAAGCCTTAAGACTTTTATCTTGAACTAACACTCTTCGAATTACTTCTCGATTGTACACTTTCACCAAGGTATCTATAAAGATATGTTTAAAACACTAGTTTAAGAGTCAATCTCATGAAATGTAGATCATAGCGTGTACATTTGACTGCTTCTTCATTCTATGTTCATTGACGAGTATGGAGTCACACTAGCAACACGACGGGTTGTCGGGGCTCGAAAATACGTCGCTTGGAACTCGCCAAATTCAATTGACGGTGTCGCTGGATTGATCACAGTCTAGGTCAGGTCGCAGAGGTATGACACTGACGGTGTTGGATTTGAAGTTAGACGTGCACCTCTCTTTTTCTCTCTTGTATTTTTCCCGCCACACATTTTTTTGTGCGAGCTTACTATACCCTACCACAATAGAATTATGTGTTCCAATCCAAAAGTAAAACAAGTAAGATTAGGACAACAACGGTAAGCTCTTCCTTTTTCTTCTACAACACATGCTAGGACTATACAATTATTGCATTATAAACCACATTCTTCCTGCATATTTCTTTTGAAAATCTGTCTTTCAATAGAAATTGGACTCCCAGATTTGGATTGTGAAATACTGTAGGTCTTCAGAAGGCGAGAAATAGGATGCTACAATTGTATATCTTCTTAAAATGACAAATAAGATATTACAACTCTATACTAAAACAATTACAAATTATTCTAAACTAATCTATCCATTTATAAAAAAATAATGCTAACAATAACTGAACACTACACGAAAACTAACAAGACTCCATTTTGTTATGCAATGGACATTCTCTAATGTACTCCCTAGTCAATCCATGTTGGAATTTTTGGCATTTTAATTGGCATTAAATGGACCAATTTGGATATATTTGTCAATAGGTCCACTAACGGTTTTAACCGTTTATTAATGGACGTGTGTTCTCTTAAATGAGATAAATGTTTGACAATTTATACGCCAAAAATGGTAGAGGGTGAATGAGAAATTGATTCTCAGAGTCAACCCGTTAATAAAAGAATATGGTGAGGATTGCAATTTTTGCAATTTTACTGAACCAATCTTCTTTTATTAATTTTACGTATTGTTTAAAATTAGTCCATTTTTACAGAGTTAACTGACCATTAATCTCCAATTATTCGGGACAAATTTTAAACGGAGCGTAGCGTAACGGACGTGTTAATGGCTAAATAATCACCATTAACACACCACTAATGCCATGATTAATTCAATGGGTTAATGGTGTAGGAGTTACAACTTTTTAAACTCCTTTATTATAAAAATCAAAGGCTCTCTCATTTGGTTTTGGTGTGACTTGCGTGAGAAAGAGAGAAAGGAAAAAGTGAAAACATTTCTTTTGTTTTCTTTTAAAAGAGAGCTCTTGGTTTTCCGTCCAAATTTCCGGCCATCCCCTTTTTAAGTTTTTGGTCGGCAACGTTCCTACGTTGTTCTTGTTCGTTGGTGTGTGGTTGGTCCGTACAATCTCCACACACGATAGCGGTTTTATCCTGGGAGGAGAGTGCCCACGTTTTTCCGGTACGGTAGGCGGGCACTACTACCTTAAGGACAGCTCCGGCGACTCCGCTGTCCTTCCACGGTGTTGTGTTTTTGCAGGTTCAGTTAATAAAGACCTCGCTGCATTCTGTCCTAGTGCATAATGTCTTCGCAGCCCAGTGCATAATGTCCTCGCAGCCCTGTGCATAACGTCCTTGAATCGCTGTCCAGTGTTTAAAGACCTCACTGTCCAGTGCTTAAAGACCTTGATGTCCAGTGCTTAACGCCCTCGTTGTCCAGTCCTTAATGTCCTCGTACAACAAGGCCATTTGAAGATATAGAAATTTATTTTCAACTTTATTTATTTTGTAATATTCTGAATAAATTATAAATTCAGAATTTTATTTATTGTTTATTTCCGGGGCCGTTCATCTTCCCCGTCCGTTGTAATCCGTACAAAAATTGTAACAATCCATTCCATATCAAGTGTCCAATAAGATACTCTACAAACAATTAAAAAATATAATGAATATAGACTTAAGGTAGTTTTGTCTTGATATTTTCTCTATTTTTACTTATTGTTTAGTGTTTTAAGTATATACGGAGTATATTTTTAAATATTTAGCAAACATAAAAAAAATGTTAACATTAGTTTTCATTTCCTCCATAATTGCAAAATTTATAACCGTAAGGATGTATAAATATAGTGTGGAATTATGTTGTGGAATTGAATAATAATAGCTAGAGGTGATCACAATTGGTTGGGACGAAGGAGATGGAGTCCTTAACCAGATCATGAATCACCATCATATTCTGCTGTTGTATATTCCCTATTATAGACATCCCCCCTTCCCCGCCGCCGCCGCCACCACTACTACTCCCCATCGCCAGACACGCCACCCCGTAGCTCTTGTCCGCCACCACGTAGTTCTCTCCGGGGAGTTCCAGATCCGCGCCGCCGCCCAGGTGGAACGTCAGTTTCGGCACCGCGATCTCCTCCGCATCCGGCGGCAGCCTGAAGCACAGATCCAGTCCCGTCGCCCCGGATTCGTCCGCCGCCAGATGCCCCATCTGCCTCTTCAGTTCCTCCTTCAGCGCCCCGAACGCCTCCCCGTTCAGGTACGTCAGGGTGGTGCCGGAGTCGATGATCGTCCCGCCGCTGCCGTCGCTGTTCAGCTTGAACGCCGTCTCCGCCACGGGGAGGCGAGTGCGGCCCAGGGTTATCCCCTCGAGGGTAATATAGTAAAAGGACGGCTGGGACGGGTTTTTTACCAGAGGGGTAGTGACTTTTTTGGAATTCCCGATTTTGTCCTCCTCCCCCCCGGCTAAAGACCCCATCAAAAGCGTGCTGGTCGAACCGCCGCCGTCTATTGCGGTTAGGCAATACGAAAACTTGGGTTCTTCGAGCTGGGAAACCAGGGAGAGTGGACCGCGGCCGAGCCCGACCAGACCGGACCCCTGACTGAACCCAGACCCTTCGTTGTCGCCGCTGCAACCGAAGGCAACTTTCCCGGCGGTGACATTGCCGTCGAATGTGAAGACCTCGGTGGCCATGACGCCTTGGGTGGTGGAGTAATCGCCGTAGGAGTAGGTGTACTCGCATCCGCCGCCGCAGGAGGACACGGGCAGGGCGGAGCAGAGGTTGCTGGAGCAGGGGAGGCGGGAGAAGGAAGACGACTTCTCCGGGTCAAAAACCGGCGTCTTCTGCGGGAAGCACAGCCGGCACGGCTTGCACTGAGTCCAGATCAAGTCACTCCCCGTGTCCACAATCGCCTCGAACGGGGCCGGCGGCGTCCCGATCGACATCTCCACCAGGAACTCGCCGGACCCGGCGCGGACCCTAGACTCCACCTCCGTCCCCGCCACCACGCTCAGCCTGTGGGCCCCGCGACTCGCCGCGCGGCTGAGGCGCTCCAGGCCCGTCAAGTTCCCGCCGGAGTCGACCCGCCGGAGAGTCGCCCTGAACCCTTTTTTGGCGAACCCTCTCAGCCCGTTTCTCGACGTGGAAGTCGCCGGAAAAGTTGAAACGGACACCACCACCATGACGATCCATAACATCAACAAGGGAAAAGGGTACGCCATTTTTGTTTTGTCCCAAGGAAGAGGAGGGGACAAATTATAGGCTCATATATACCTGCGAGACGTGTGTAATTGGGTTCGTGTATTAGAGAGAAAAAAAGTAAAGTGAGAGAATTAGGAAACTTAATGGGACATAAATCAAGAAGATGAACTTTGTACTTTGTAGAACGAAACTAAATTATGTACTCTGTATCAACAAAAAAGAATGTTCATATTGCAGTAAAATCATTATCTGTGGGGATAAATATTAAATACCTGCAAAATTAAGCGCTAAATTTAATTATATCTATAGCGGAGTATATTTTAGCATATATACTCGGTTGCATGTTTAGTGAAATTTAACGTAAATTTAAAGAATGTGTGCTTTATTTCTTGTTCTCCAATATTAACCTTAGAGCACTAGTAATGGTCTTGAAGCCTCGGGGGCTTCAAATCGGGACTTCCAACACACACTCTCTCCAATATCAGCTTTAACTTACACTAAAATTTCACTGGAAATGGATTTGAAGTCCCTGGGCTTCAAACTGGGGCTTCAAACCTCTATTTTTTATATTTTTAAATATACATCTTCAAAAATTAAATTAATAATATTTTATCAATTAATTGAATTTAAATAAAAATAAATTATTAAATAAAAAAATCAATACAAAGTAAATTAACAAAATAAGATTTGAGTAATAACAACAAAAATATAAAAAGTTATATTACTTTATGAAGAAATTAATGATTATTCGAGCGACTAAAAATATCTTCATTCAAATCGGGGTTGTAGTAACATATTCCAAACTTAAATAATTCATTAAATAAAAAAATACAGTCAATAAAAAAAGTACGTTAAATTTAAAAAACAACAATAAAAAATTGCATTACTAAAGAAAATTTAAACAAAAAATATTACATTAAACAACAAAATATAGAGTAAAAAAATTATGTTTGTATATGTTTTATTTTTTTTTAAAGAGAAAGAATATAAAGAGTAAAAAAATATTTAGTCTTATGGCATTAATGTAATTTTTGTTGTTTTTTAATGGAGGGACCCCTACTATTTCTCTCATCTCTCTGTTAAACTTTTGACGCATAATGGATGAAGCCTGTATGGAGTCCCAAGGGGCGGTGTTTACTGCTCCTTTGGCGTTAAAAGCAGTAATAACGCCCTCGGGGTTACAACCAATTCCATTGCCCTTAAGTACGGGTTGACAAAAAAACCGAACTAACATGGTACTATGAAATATTTGCACTAAAACATAAGTCATTTTTCAATGTAAGACTTAAATTTTTTTATTCCCTAAATAATACTTAATAATGTCTAGATGGATGAATAATGTCCAGTGATGGTGAACATTTACTTGAACAATGACTAATGGATAATGATAAAAAGTGCTACATTGAGAAATAAAAACATATCATGTTATTTAGAGAAAGTCATTATGTTTTAGTGTTATTTCCGTAAATTCCTCATGTTACTCTAACGGACTGTAATGGTACCAAACTATTTATAGTGTTTTTAAACGAAATTGATTTTTGGGAGAAAGACCAAAGTAGAACTAAAACATTGAAAATATACCAAAATAGGACTTCCATGTTTTTATTCCCAAAATAGGACTTACATTACCAAACATGGTCATATACATTACCAAAAAAGTATAATTATTTGCACATGTACACTGCCACATTACCACAATGCAAAATCATATTACCACAGTGCAAAGTTCTATTCCGGGAAAAAAACATGAAAGTCCTATTTTGGTACTTTTCTCTATGTTTTAGTCCTATTTAGGATGATTTCTATTGATTTTTTTCTATCATGAATCGAAACTGAATCGAGATCAAACCGGACGAGACCATGATACAAATATTTAAAACCGACTATCACGAATATGATACCGTGTATAGAAATTTCAAAATACTTTTTGGCATTATATATTGACATGATTAGCATTGTTTATGCATTTAAACTCTCATTTTTGAAATAAAAATATGAAATTTCTATATTCATAACCTTTTTTTATATTTTTACTCATACCTTAGTCTTTGTTTTTCAAATAAATACGAGAACTAATAATATTTAAAAATTAATGTGGTTTGGAATATAAAAGGTTAGGTTGTCTCTCTTTCAAGGTTAACCTACAAACATAAAACCGGCCTATAACATTTGCAAAATTGAGTAGAGAGGCATTTCATTCCCAGAGGAATTGATTTCTGCAAGTCACGCAATAATCAAGCAAGTGAAATATACCAAACGTGCTGTGTGTTCCAAAAACTCATTCTGTTTTTTTTGGAACAAAGTAGTATAAACTAATTTAGGATGGACCTATTTGTACACCAAAATTTATACTTCGTTTTGTACCTCAAAGACATGCACTTACATTTTGTGCTAGCGTGATATTAGTGTGATAATTTATATTGGCAAAAAATATCAGTGTAATTTTTTTTAGTTGAACTAACATTTTCTATCCGTGCGAATCGTTAAAAGGTCGGTGTATCTATTTATGATACAATTTGGGGTACACTTTTAGTGTACCCGTAGCATGGTTGATTAATTAAAGAGAAGCAATAATGAATTCAAGAGGTGAACCAACCCCCTCTTGTGCTTTGTGGTGAATGAGAAGCTGGTGCTAATAGATGTGCGCTCTCAGTAGTAGAGCGCAAAATAAAACAAAGAAATATCTCCGCTACAAATAGCTAAGAGATTCCTACATTCTCCAAGGATATAGCTAAAATAGGACCTGTCTCGAGTGTCACAGTTCAATGCATCTGCCACCTCAGGATAACTTTCTGCCAACTGCTAGTCCTGGTCCAACCCAATACTTCCTTCATTCCCATAGCTTCTGCTTCCCTTGGACCATAGCTACCTGATGGTGTAAATTAACCATCCGGGCAAATTATTCTAGACTGGGTCTAGGATAATTTGCTAAGTTTGATACATTAAAAAACACAAAAAACAAGGAATGACCGGTAGGACTCTAGGTGGAAACACATGTAGTCCGATTGTTATTTAATATATAGATTGTACGGGCGAGATTACAATGCACACGTTTAGAGAGATAAAATTCAAATCTCCAACACTAAGGGTTTACATTAGTATTTAACTATTTATAGTAGGACTAGGGGACAAGACAAAGGGTGCCCACGTGGAACCACGTGCCTGGAGTTTTGTCCCGTAGTGTGTCTCATTCCCTTGTCGGCTTGTGATGATGGCAACTACCTTGGCGCGTAGTGCTTAGACGAGAATGTTGAAATATTCACCGCAATCTTTCATGGAATTCAGTCGCTACCGTCTAACCGTCCTTGGAGTTACTCGTGCCAACAGTTTTAAGTAGAGACAACTTACCCGGTAGGTTTACTGGACACGCGTCTGACTGGATAGAAGATAAGCAAATCAAGTCACGCTCCCTACCTGTAGTGTTATGAAACTCTACCGATCCCCCACATGGGCAGCTCAGTTGGTCAAGAACGTGAAATCTTGGACCGATGACTACTGATCGAGTCCCGCAAGCGGCAGTGTGGGAGCTATCCAAAAATCACAGAAAGGGTGAGAAGGCTCCTTGTGCGCGGTGGGCAGGGGTCTAGCATTTTTGGCCGACTGAGTCACCATGATTTACTTCCTCCACCATCCCACGGGTGGGTGGGCTATTCCACCTTTTGTACAAACTCTACCGATCAACATTTAGTCGAATCAGTCCTAAGGGGCTGTTTGGCAACTTCTGAATAGGTAAGTGCTGAACCAGTAAGAGGTCTGAACCATTAAGTGCTGAACCAGTAAGAGGTCTGAACCATTAATTGCTGAACCAGTAAGAGGTCTAAACCATTAAGAGCTAGTATATTGCTTAACTATTCAGAGGCAAATGTCTGATCAATTCAGATAAGAGGTCTTAAACATTCAGACTCTGTATAATACTTAATCATTCAGAGGCAAATCTCTTAACCATTCAGACATCTAAACTATTAAGAGGCTGAAACAAACAGTCTGAATTATTAAATGTTAAACCATTCAGACATCTAATCCATTCTATTAAGAGACTGAAACAAATAGTCCATCTCTCAAGAATAATCCCTCATCATTGGCGGTGAATTAATTTGATGTAGGGAATGTAAAGTAAGCCACATAATATTAGGCCAGTGACCAGTGCGCTCTCTCCGTCTCCGACACCTCCCGCCTCCGTCTTGACTGCGGCTCAGTGACCACTGCGGCCGCGCAGCGGTTCAGGCCTATCACTCAGGCAACAGCTCCGATTCCTCCTCTTGTTCTAGGTAAATACTCCGCATAATTTTAATCGTTTTAGACACTTCTGAGTTATGATTTTTTGATACGTGAGTCTGTAATTTTTGGGGTTGTGAGCTATGAATTTGTGATTAGGTTAGTTTTCACTATATGGATTAACCATAGTGCTTAATCTTTCATATCTGGTGCATCATACAACTGCCAGCAATGTTTTTCATTCCACCAAGATGGGGCAAATGACATTAGACACAATTACACAAACAAGCAAATCAATAAAATGGGAGTGGGGGAAGAAGAATAATTTACTGGTGTATGAAACATTTATCATGGAAATGAAGTTATTTAGGCTCCGTTTGGTACACGGAATTCAAACTATGGAATTGGAATTGGAGACAATAATTCCAATTCTGCTGTTTGGTAGTACAAAAATATGTGAATTTGGAATTGGTAGTGCCAAAAATGAATTGAAATTGGAGAATTCAATCCCATCCAAATCAATTCCATAGAATTTCAACTCCCTATTCAATTCCAATTCCGTCAATTCCGTGTACCAAACGGACCCTTAAAGATAATTAAAGTATTTAAATGTATAAATTTGGAAACCTATATAGACAGTGGTTCTCTGGCCTTATCTGTGAGGTTGGAAAGTTTAAATGTTTCAACATAGACATAATCAACCACAAATAAGAGAAACCGCCTAACTTTCTATCTCCACGAAATGGGTGTGGAGTGGCTATATAAGCTTGCCAGAAAATGATAGATAGAACTTCATCATAGAAGAAAACAAAAACAACAACAACCCAGTTGAATCCCACTCATCATAGAAGAAATAAGTCCCAAATGATTTAGAATTTCAAAGAGAGGGGCCTTGAACATATTTTATATACTGTTAGTTCCTTCATGGTCTGTTTAGATAGAGGGTTTTGGAAGGGTAATGAGGGGAATGCTTTGGAGGAATTAGTAAATATCTTGTTAATAGAATGTTTCTTAAGCAAAACAAAAAAAGGGTTATGAACTTATTTTGAATTATGATCACATATTTTTTTAATCCTTAAAATTTTATGAAATTTCATGTAGAGGTGAGGGATAACATCATAACTCTGATTCTATCAAAGCTTGAAAAGCAGAAGGGAATAGAAGTAAGGGTTCAGACATGATCAAAGCTTGTATTTCTCCTCCATTTTTACATCACATTCATCCTTTAACTTCTCCCAGGTTTGGTTCTAATCTTATTTTGATTATTTTGTCTTGGACTCATACTACATAAACAGTAGCTCCCAGTTAGGGACATTTAAGAATTCAGATTTATTGCTGAAAGAACGAAAATACTTCGCAGATTGACTGTTAAAATGTCTGCGCTTGGCTCAAGTGGTAATATTGGAAGAGCTGCTGAGTCTCTGGCACTGAAGCCACCTGCCCATCCCACATATGATTTGAAGGGTGTTATTCAACTTGCCCTTTCAGAAGATGCTGGGGATAGAGGTATCATGCCCACCTGACAAGAAAATTTTAAAAATTAATGAAAATTTTGATCGCTGTATATAATTAATGAAAGAAATTAAAGGACATTTTGATTAATGTTGATGATATATCAATCCTTTTCGTGGGAGGCCACATGTAAACGTGTGAAGCTCAATTTTTATTTTTCATCGAATGTGAATAGTTATCTCACAATGTAAATTTTTAGTATTCAAAATATGTGTTTCTGGTGTTATATATTATTTGATGGAAACAAAAATAACTTATGGAGTTTTAAAGTGTTCACTTTGTTGCTTTGGTCTTCCTCTTCCTGTTGCCCTGAAAAAAAAATTAAATTTGGTCATTGAAAATTGAAACCTAAGCTATGGATGTGGAATTAAGGCATTACTGATGGTGTATTTAGAATTTTAGATACATCTGTTATGATGACATACAGGAGATGTGACTTGTAAAGCAACTATTCCGACTGATATGGAAGCGGAAGCTCACTTTCTGGCAAAGGAAGATGGGATCATAGCAGGGATTGCACTTGCTGAAATGGTGTTCCGTGAAGTTGATCCTGCATTGCAGGTATGTACATTCTGGTCTTATCATTTTGAGTATGTTAAGAGCCCGTTTTTTGTGGCCCAAATTAGCTGAATTTTTCTGAATCTGCCAAAATTATAGTTGAAATAGCTCAATTATCTAAAATATTGTGCTACAACAACTAACCCACTATAATACCAACCCTGTTGGGTTTGGGGGGGGGGTGGGGGTTGTGGGTGGAGAGTGGGTCAAGATATGCAGAAATGTTTTTACCAAACTGACCCCAAATTTCCTTTTAAAAGGTTTGAAAAAGCAGCGAAGATATCATTTTTTAATAGAGTTTCAATAACAGGTGGTCTGGTCTAGAAAGGATGGTGATGAAGTAAATAAAGGTCTACAATTCGGCAAAGTACACGGTAACCTAAAATTTTGAGAAAAAACAAACTCTTTAAATTAAAATAACTGTGTATATTTCAACACTGAGAACACTTGATTCTCCTTGAGCTTATGCAGGAAAAGCTTATAGCATCATCGTTGCTGAACGGGTTGCACTCAATTTTATGCAGAGAATGAGTGGAATTGCTACACTCACTAAGGTGTGTTTAAGTTCATGTAAGTCACCATTCTTTGATTTTAGAACGGATTGATTCACTCTTTTTTAAAATTATTATCACTCTATCAAACCTCAAAATATAACACTTGTAATATTGAAAATTGTTTGGTATCATTGAGGTACAAATTACCAACATGAGATACCTATTCCTTATTGTTTTTGAACTGTATCCGTATGTTGGAGCTTGTGCAGTTTTTATATAGTCTGCAGTCCTTAAGGTTTTGCTTGTTTCTAGGACAATATTTTCTGGAAAATGTTTTCTACTTGAACCCCAAACTGCCAAAAAATGGGGTTGACATATCTATTTATTTTTGTTGTATTTGTAGGCAATGGCAGATGCTGCCCGCCCTGCCTATATCTTGGAGACAAGAAAAACTGCTCCTTGTTTGCGTTTAATTGATAAGTGGGCGGTACACATATCTTCTTTCACCTTTTATGTTATGCTTTGTCTATGATTTCTTTTGTGAATTTATATTTAGGTTTTCTTTTCCATCATCTATGGTGATAGGTATTAATTGGTGGTGGACAAAATCACAGAATGGGTTTGTTTGATATGGTGATGATAAAAGACAATCATATATCTGCAACGGGAGGCATTGGCGAAGCTTTAAAATCCGTGGACCAATATCTTCACCAAAATAACCTTCAAATGGGGGTTGAGGTATTCAATTCTCTATGTTTTTTTTTTCTTTCTTTGAGAAAGATCATGGGCAAAAATACCATTTATAATGGAAAGATCATGATAAAAATAATCACATAATGGAACCACTTGTATCTACCATCATATAAAGGGTGGAGTCCTCTTATCATTTAAGTTTAAACTTTAAAAGTTAGGACATTTGCTCTAACTCTTATATATTGTTGGGCTTGAACTTATTAAAAGTTGTAGTTTCCTACATTGAGAAATTACACAAGATTTTTGAGGATTTTCTCTCTTTAAACAGATTGAAACCAGAACACTTGAGGAAGTACACGAGGTGTTACAATACGCATCCAAAACAACAAAAACATCGTTGAGTAGATTAATGTTAGACAATATGGTTGTCCCACTTCCTAACGGGGGTGTTGATGTGTCGATGCTCAAGGAGGCTGTGGGTTTGATCAATGGGAGATTTGAGACTGAGGTATCTTCTTCATTATAAAAATTCTCCTCCACCTATAATGCCTTATAGGTTCGCGCAGTCAACAAATTAAAAGAATTTTTCCACTCCTGGAGTCCTGGTCTCATGTCTATTACTCCCTATGTCTCAATGTTAAAGTGTGATGATTTAAAGCAACTCATTCTAAACTTGTGCAACTCTCCAAATGGTGCTTCTCTTGCATTCTCATTTCTTATATGCCAGGCTTCTGGAAATGTGACGCTTGAGACGGTGCATCAGATTGGGCAAACTGGCGTCACTTACATATCCAGGTAAAAATGTCGAGCGAAAAACAGTCCAGAAGCTATTTGCTTTTACATAAATGCAGATATTTTAGATTTTTTATTCCGGTTGGAAAAAAAAAACGAGTTCTATTACTTCTATAACAACTGTTCCAAACCCTAACAGTGTCAAACATTTCTTTCAGTGGCGCGCTGACGCACTCCGTGAAGGCGCTCGACATCTCCTTGAAGATTGACACGGAGCTCGCCCTCAGAGTTGGAAGGCGAACGAAGCGAGCGTGATTCTGGGGACTCTCATTGCCCTTCAGCATTGGTACAATAAGGTGACAATAATAAAAGGAAACAACTGAAAATGTTGAAAAAATAATACAAATAAGTTTCTTTTTTTATTTTTATTTTGATAAACAAATTCAAATAAGAATTGATGACCCAGACAAATAGACAATGCAGCATGGAATGATAATTATGTCCGAGAGATATGCAACAAATGTAACAGCAATATTTCTATCTTTAATTGGCCCTATGCTGTTTGAAAACCCATACCTGTACCGTACCAAAAGTACCATACCGGAAAATAAAATTAGATTAGAGTAATACCCTAATACTGTACATACACTAATTCGGTTCTTGAAAACACTTCCGTCCTAAATTTTTGCACACCCTATAAAATATTTTCTCTATCGCTAAAATACTTCTAAAACAACTTTTACCCGCAATAAACTATATAATGGATGCATATTTTAGATATTTTAGGTGGAAGTAAAAGTATTTTATGGGGTGCGCAAAAATTTAGGGCGGAAGTGTTTTCAAGAACGGAGGGAGTACTCTCTTTGTCCCTTTTGAATGTTCTCAGTTTAATTTTCAATGTCAATTTGTTTAAAGGTTAACTACAAATTGCTTAAAAAATATATTGAGTTATGATATAAATTTAATATCGATAAGGTCATTTGTAAACATAGTTTTGAAGTATTTCTATGTAAAAATTATCTTTCTATGTAAAAATGATACCGAAATTAAGAGTGGTTGTTGAAAATAAAAGTCTACTTTTATTTCAAAAAAATGAGTAAAATGGACATACTAATACTAAAAACGAAAAAGAAATAAAAATTTGAGATTGAGACTTCAAAAAGTGTACTGTAAAATTGAAAATTAATTTTGGGAGAGAGTAAAATGCTCCACATTGTAAAATACCCACTATCCAATTATGGAGTTCTTTTTTCTCACCGAAAGTTTTTCTTCATTAAACTACTCAACTTATTGGACTATGACTGTGTTTTACAAATTTTACCAAAGATTTGTCGATGTCCAAAGTATTTTTACTAGGGACAAATTAAATATTCCTTCTCTTGCATTATTTTTGGAACATGAAATAGTGGTATAAAAAATAAAAAAATATAATATTATGTAGTTGATATTCACGTTAAAACATACTCTGTATTTAAGTAAGATAAAGTAAAAAAATATGAATCATACAAATATAACCAAATATATTATGCAACAAATATAGTGAGAGGAAGAAAAAGAAAAAAGTTGAAATGAAATAGTTGGATGGAATGAATCTTAAGGTAAGAATTGACTTTACAAATATGTCATCTTCCAATTGTGAGAGATTAATTTCCTTCACATCATTAAATATCCACTTTTTATTCGGAGCATCCAATTAAGAAACTACGATGAATTATTTAAAATTATAAGTGAAGGAATTTAATGATTGGTCATAAAATATTTCGACTAAACCATATTAAAAGATTGAATCCAAACGATGATAAGTTCAATTCAAGAGTTTTTATACCCGTTATTTTCTCCTCAATTTTTGATGTAGGATGCTTTAGTACTCGCCTCGAGTGGACAACCCGGTCATTTGAATCTAAAGGGTTCACACTTGTAAATGGATCCTTATTCCGTAAAATGAATATTTGAGCAGAAACATCTAAAGAATCCCGAATAGTTGGATATGAACTCGAGACAAACAATCGAGTTAAATAAGCCATAGGTCTGAAGTATATGTTCCATACGGACACCTGGGCTGAAGATTAGGATCGCTAAGAATGAACATCTAGAGAGAAACCTTGATTAATGATGTGGACCAAAACTTACTTTAGAAAAATTTAGAAAAATAGAGATTATTGAATTGGTCATATGACACATGAGCTGAATGACTTGTGAGTAATTATTTAGATTCTAATCAAATTATGCATTCAATTAGGGAAATAATTCATTTTCGATAAACATATTTTCGGGTCCTTAATTACTCCGTCATAATTAAATGAACTTTATTTCATGTCATATTATCATGTGCACGATTTGTTCATATAACAGATCCGTTCTAATGAATTAGAAGAATAAGCATGCAAATATTACACACGTCATTATGTTTTGTAGTACTTTGACAAAATGACAATAATATGGTATGTGTATTATTATTAACAAATCATACATGTCCAAAAAAAAGTAATTCATCCCGGCCCTACCACATAAACGTTGGATATTTGATTTGTTAAACAAGTTTAAAAGCTGGTAACTCAACTGCTTTAAGGAGAGAATGTTAAGTCTATTGGTCCTAGAATCGAATCCCGACATCGTTAGCAGTGTAAAGTTCTATTCTTTGTAATAGTTGCTTGTGTGCACCGAGCACGAGACAACTTCTCTAAGGATCTGATTGAGATTATACCATGATTTATCCTCCTCACAATCATGTCAAACTGAGGTGTAGGGGTGCCTGGGGTGGACATTCCACCTTTTTCCTTAAAAAAATTTAAAAGTACGGAGTTTCTATTAATAAGATTTTAACTAATAACTTGGTGGAGCAATCGTAATTAGTTGTCGTAACTATTTCACACTTAAGAACTTTAAATTTCCTTGTAGGAGACCTTGAATTCTAGTCAACGTGTAGGCATTTTACCTATAAAGTGAACATATTTTCACTTGGTTTCTTAGGTATCATTAATACTAACGCTCTCAATTTTTTTTTAGCCCAAGTTAGGTTTGACGAAACAAGTAGGGGCAAGCAGCGCTCCTACTAATTTGTAAGGCTATGCCGGATGTCAGAATTTCCTATGAAGGAGCCTAACTTGGCTTAAATGTTTTGGCTTAATATAAAAAGTTTACTCTTCAAAGTTTTGGCTTAAATGTGCAACTTAATTACTTAGTAAGAGGTGCAAATTAAAAGGGTGTAATGTTCAGATACGAACATTAAGGGTCCGCTTGGGAAGCTTAGGAGAAATGAGTTCTTATATCTTTTAAAGCAAACAACTTCATTTCTAATTTCCAAACCCATATCATTTCTTCCATACACCGTATTTAACACCCATATTATACCACATTTCCAAACCCATTAAAAGCATGTGTCGAAGGCTAATCCGTTGTGACGGAAGGGGTCCAGTGGATGCCTTGAAATTCATTTTCGATCGTACAGCGAATAGAATCTTTTGCAGACGACTTAAATACGCAACAAGTTATTATAAGCGGTAATATTACCTTGCTGTCACGATCCTCCGAGATTCAACCCTTTGTTACTTTGATTCGGGAAAAAAACCTCAAATGGGTCATAAATGCATTCCAAAAGTCCAAACATCCCAACATAAAACCATGAGTCATGGGATGGAGGTGATGGTGATGTATGACTGTATATGCACATGAACGATCAAAGGTGTGCCGAATATTTTAATGGTTAAGCTAAGAAGGAAAAGAAAAAGGAAGCAATAGTGAAGAAGAGGTTAGAGAGAGAGAGAGAAAGAACCCCCCCCAGCCCAGCGAGGTGGAGGAAGATGAAGATGAATGCTGTGCTTATTACGGAGATGCGAGCCAGAAACTTCTCCGTACTCTTCCTTTTCCTAATTTTCATTCTCATCGTCATCTAAATTCCCATACCCATTTTTTCCCTTCCCACGTAGTACCCATCGTTATCAACTGTTTAACCTTTACTGTTCTTCTGATTTTTTATTTCAATTTACTCTATTATTTGGTCCATCGGCGTACTACTGTTTGATCAGATTGATGAGGTTTTTGGAGATTCTGATCTGGATTCCAGTTTAGGGTTTGAGCTTTATGATCTCAGCTGGGTTTGTTGGGGCTTGATTCGATTCAGATATTCATATCTCCACTCTTCCTCTTCATAATCTTGTTGTTGTTGTTGTTGTATATACAGTCAGATCAGTCTGAACCTAATGGTTCTATAGTTGTTGTTGTTGTTGTTAATCAGTGTTTTTCTTGGGGGAGTGCTTTTGAGCTTTTGTTTTTGTTCTTGTTGTGTTTTGAATCTCCATTTTCAAAGGAAAAGAATTGTAGAGGATATAACTTCGAAGAGACCCACTGTTTTTATTGTGGGAATTTCGCTAGTCATATAGATTGTATATCGCCGGTCTATGGGAATACCCAATAGTTCGTTGCCGGATTTGATTGGGAAGGTTAAGTCTTGGATTTCTTGGGGAACTGGTGATCCAAACTATTTTACTGGATCACTTGAAATGGGTTCTAACAGTAAATCACGTGAGTGCAAGATCCATCCTTCTGGCTCTCCCAAACAGGGCCTAGAACCGCCATCACCTTGTTATAGTAGTGATGTATTTGATGTGTATTCCCCGGATGCTGCAAGGATTAGTTTTGCATCTTTTTCAAGCAACCTGTCTTCAGCGTCTGTTCGTTGCTCACCAAGCAGGTATGACCCCGCGGATCCTAGTAATTCAAAAAAACCCTGAAGGGCTTTTGCTAGTTTGGGGATTTTGGAGGGGATGATTTTTTTTGTTTCACTAATTTATAACTGTTTGTTAGTTTCTAGACTAGAAAATAGCCATATGATTAGCCGAATGACTTGAATCATGCATTCCTTTATAAAATTTCATCTTCATTTTTTTTCCAACCATCTAAATGTAAAAGTAAATAAAATAAATCACCCATCCCGTTCCATCCCCTCTGAACCCCCCCAAGAAAACAAGGGCTCAAAACATGCGTGCTTTGGTTTTTTTGAGCACCTAGTTTGTATCCCTTTCATACGAGATTTCACCACACACACGGAATACTGTGTCCTTAATCTTATTGGACTCTTTTCGTACTTCATTATATTCAGGCATATGCAATGGCTGTAATTTTGTTGGCGGTGATAAAATTGAACTTGAGTGACATAATGTTGTCTTTTAAGTCCCAGCCCATAAAATTCTCTCATTTTGAAATTAATGTTAATCATCATAAGCACCTTAATGCAACTATGTTGGGGTTAGTGGCATGAAATTAATGTGTGAATTAGTTGTCTTAAATTAGTTAACATTATAGATTACTTCAAAAAAGCATAATGACGAAGTTTTACCCATTCACCTTTTGCAACTACTCTGTAATATTAAGTAACTCCCTTTTTCATCTTTGTATTTTTGTTTTTGAAACTAGGAGCGATGATGAAGGGGAAGATGGCACAAATGAAATTTTATGGCCATCTGGTGACTGCCGCCACGACCACGATACTTCTTCTTCCGATATAGATTCAAGTAGTATTAGTTCTAGACATGGACCTCACAATATTAAGTCGGTTGGATCATGTCCTATTGATAGCCCCTCCTCTAGCATCTCTTTTACTTCTGATAGAGTTGGGCATTCTGTACAGAAAGAACAAATGGGGTCCTCGGGATCTCCCAAAGACATTTTATTTGACCAAGAAACCTCAAATAGCTCTGATAATAGTTTGCCTCTCTCTCAAAGCCAGTCAGAAAATGGAGTCATATGGTTTCCTCCTCCTCCCAATGGAGAAATCGATGAAACGGAACACAATTTCTTTACATATGACGATGATGATGATGAACAAATTGGAGAATCGTCTGGTGACATGTTTTTGTTGAAGGAGAAACAGAACGGAGGTCAAAAGGAGGCTATAAGAGATGTGGTTCAGGGCCACTTTAGGGCTCTTGTGTCACAGTTACTGCAAGCAGAAGGAATAATGGGAGGGAAACAAGGTAGCGGTGAGGAGTGGCTCGATGTAGTTACCACCGTAGCTTGGCAAGCTGCAAGCTTTGTGAAGCCAGATACTAGTAGGGGTGGTAGCATGGATCCTGGTAACTATGTAAAGGTTAAATGTGTAGCTTCTGGAAAGCCTTGTGACAGGTGAGACCCTTGTACACACACACACAAAAAAAAAACACACGCACACTTATATGCATGTGGGTTTTCAATGGGCACCACGAACCTATCCGTAGAGCGGCACCCATTGCAACACACACACACGTTTGCCTGTGTGATTATGTGTATATATGCACGTATCTATACATATCTATGTATGTGATACACAAATATCTGTACATATTTATGTATGTCAAATTGTAAATATGTGTGTGCATGTGTATATGTTGTTTTGTGTGTGCGCTCGCGCGCGTGTGTGTTTACACACACATGATGTGTGTATGTATATCAGTGTATGATGCTTGCCATGCATTCATTTTTTTTAAAGAGGTATAAGTTGAATTTTATTGTTTTGTTTATTGCAGCACATTTATCAAGGGGATAGTTTGTACAAAGAATATCAAACACAAGCGCATGACATCTCACTATGAAAATGTGCGGTTGCTTCTTTTAGGAGGGGCACTAGAGTACCAAAGAAATCCCAACCAACTGGCTTCTTTTGACAACTTACTTCAACAGGTTCTACCCAATTGCCTTGCTTGTCTAATTTTTTTTATTGATATAGAGTAATAATAGTAGCCTAGTAGGGACTACCGGACTAGGGAGAAGTTTATGAATGATTTTTATTATGCCTCTTATAGGAAAAAGATCACATGAAGACAATTGTTTCAAAAATTGAGGCACACCATCCAAATGTGGTCCTTGTGGAGAAAAGTGTGTCTTCATATGCCCAGGAGCTTCTACTGGCGAAAGAGATGTCTTTGGTGCTCAATGTTAAGAGGTCATTACTGGAGAGGATTGCTCGGTGCACTGGTGCTTATATAACTCCATCAATTGATAGCATAGCAACGGCAAGATTGGGACATTGTGAACTCTTTCGCGTTGAGAAAGTCTGTGAGGAGCATGAAAAGTCCAATGATCAATCTAACAAGAAATCTCTCAGAACCTTGATGTTTTTTGATGGCTGTATCAGGCGTTTAGGTTGCACGGTACTGCTCACCACTCTTTTGCAAGCTTTACACCCGCTATTTAAGTACCCATTTGGTACACTTATGAATCAGCATGTTATTTCATTAAACACAATCTTGTGCAAGTGTTTTAGCTGTATCGGTCTATGTTGAACAAAAGTAGCGTACAAGTTTTTTTAGGTTTCAAATGTTTGTGGTTGATACTTCTGCACAATTCCATCATTTCACTCACAAATTGTGCAACTTTAGCCACAATTTTAGTAGAACAGTCATTTAAGTCTTGCCAAACAAACTCTAAAATCTTAATGACTTTTTTTCAACTTATCCATTACTGCCTTATCTATTCTGATGTTTGCTTCAATCACGCTACATGATTTTCCTTCTTTTATGATTTAGCATCATAAAGATCCTTCTTTAGGTACAAGGGAAAGGAGAATAAATAGGTTATTGATTCCTTAAACGGATGACAAATCATAAATCACTTTTTTTGTCCCTTTGGCAGTTATACTCTTTACAAGATTCTAGTCATTAAACTATTAAAACTACACTTGTGTGTTATCAAACTCCTACAAATTGATTCAATTTAGTTGTTTCCATCCTCTATATGACTTGCGGTCTTGTGCCGTCTTTTGCCATTGTAAAATTTTCCACTTTTGGTCATCTGACTCTTAGGTGATCCTCACTTTTGGACTGTTTTGGTCATCCACTTTTTCCATGTTTGGTTTACAACTATGTATTCCTTGTAAACTTTGGTCATTCTGACCACTCATCCGCCAATTTCTGGTTAATTTTTGCCTGGTAAGTGATTTGGAAGGACCAATAGTGATGAGAAAACTAGTCATGCACAAGTGAGAGGGACAATAAATGTGTATATGACCGAATAGTCTTGAAATCAGAAGTGAAAATTTCTCTTATGGGAATTTTTTTTAACTATGTGGAATCAGTGAGAGAACTTAGGATTTTAATTTTCATTCGCAGGTTTTGCTTAAGGGATGTTGTCGTGAAAACCTAAAGAAAGTGAAGAAGGTTGTTCAATATGCAGTATTTGCTGCATATCATCTATCCTTGGAAACATCTTTCCTTACCGATGAGGGTGCTAGTCTCCCTAAAATGGCCCCGCAGAAATCTGCCGATGGCGAATCTTGCCATCTCTCCTTGGAGTTCGAAGATGGAATGAGCAATATTTTTCCTCGGAACATAGCATCATCTGCATCCACTGATGATCTATTGTATGCCCAGGAGGATACTGAAGTTTTGAAAAGTCCAACCATTGGAAGAGTTGATGGGATTGCAGATCCTATTGCTGATTGCTATTCAGCCGGGGAAAATCATCAAAGCATATTAGTGTCCTTCTCAAGCCGTTGTGTGCTGAATGATACTCTATGTGAACGCCCTCGTCTTCTACGCATACAGTTTTATGGTTTTTTTGATAAGCCTCTTGGCCGCTATCTTCAAGACGAGCTGTTTGGTCAGGTAAGTTCTATTAAAATCCTTTTTTCACGCAAGTTTAGGCTCCTTTTTATATAAGATTGGATCCTGGATGTCCAAGGTTTGAATTCATGTCCTTACAAACAATGCAAAGCAAAGGACAAAGCAAATGTATTAAATTTATTAATTTCTATTATATGGAGTATATAGATTGAAAAATGTCAGGGAAAGAAACCATGGAGGAAAATAGAAGGAAAGAAAATTTAATGGAAAATTAAAATTATGGATTCAAGTTCAAATGCATTTAATTTATTTATTTCTATTATATGGAGTATATAGATTGAAAAATCTATATACATACATCATGGCATTAAATTTATAGCACCATTGCCAATTAATTGCACTAGATTGATTAACACTATAAATTCATGGAAAACAGTGTAGGGTACTAGTGTCAACGTTTTACCACTTTTACCTTGAAAATTAAAATACGATTACCTTTTAAAAATAATGCATGTTTATTGTTTAGCTTTTGCGACAAAAAAGATCCAAACATACTCTTAAGTTACTTTGAAATTATACTTCAATTGCCAGGCATCTTGCCAGTCATGCAAGGAGCCAATGGAGGCCCATGTCATTTGTTACATTCACCAGCATGGGAACCTTACAATTAACATTAGGCGCATTCCATCGCCTAAGCTTCCTGGCGAACAAGACAAAAAGATATGGATGTGGCATCGGTGCCTCAAGTGTGCACAAGTAGAGGGGGTTGCGCCAGCAACTCGTAGGGTACTTATGTCTGATGCTGCTTGGGGCCTCTCATTTGGAAAGTTTTTGGAGCTTAGTTTTTCCAATCACGACACTGCCAACCGTGTGGCAAGTTGTGGCCATTCTCTACAAAGAGACTGCCTCCGTTATTATGGGTGTGTGTCTCTTGAGTGCTTATTAATAACTTCTGTTTTTTTCTGTTGTTACCTGTAATTGTAAGAATCCAAATCATCTTTCGGTGGATATTCGCGTTTGGTAAACCTTATGGTTATTGGTAATAATTGTTGAATGTGGGTATTTGATAATCAACTTCAAGGCAATATATTATTTCCCTAAATGAAATAAACGTAATTTACTAATCCATAATCTATGCCTTATTTACAATCTGATAAATTGTTATTTATTCCCCAAGTTATGCAACTTTAGCCATTCCACATTAGTCCCATTAACAACGGGGGGCTAGACAATCAGGTGAATTGTGTTAAACCAATCTATTTGTTCAGTTCGGTCTGGTTTATGATTGAATTTTCTTTTTGACAGATCAGGGAGTATGGTAGCAATTTTCCGCTATTCTCCAATTAATATTCTCTCAGTTTGTCTGCCTCCTCCAATTCTTGAATTTGGTAACAAAGCAGAGCAGGTTTGGACACAGAAAGAAGCTGCCGAGGTACTGCCACTACTGCATAATAATTAATGGAAGATCCTTATCTGAAAATTAAACTCTTTTTTTGTTTTTATATTAAATATCTCAACTCATTGACGTCTCATCATATTCTCTACGCAAGAGGGAATAACCTTTGAAGTATAATCATGATGGTTTTAGAATTTCATCTCATGATTCTTTATTATGAAGGTTGCAACATGAAGGACATCCAGATTGAAACATTGCCTTCGTGCTTTAATTAATTTTAAACAGACAAAAACAGTTACAGTACTATAAATTTCATGCTACTCCAGCTAGTTGGGATTAAGGAGCAGATAATGTTAAATATACAGAGTATATAATATCTTCCCTTCTTGCAGCTTTTGAGCAAAGCCAAGTCTTTGTATGCTGAGATAACAAGTTCTTTTCATGGGATTGAGGAGAAAAGTGAACCTTACGATAAGAGTGAACTGCATAGCTACATAATGGATTTGAAAGACCTCTTGATGAAAGAAAAGGATGATTGCAATGTGAGTTTTGGCCTAAGAAAAATGGTCATTCTTAAGCTGCTTTTTGTCCATTATTTGTATTTATTTTAAATGAATCAGTGAATAATTTACTGTAGTCTTTGTTTGGATGGAGGATTACGGAGGGGAGTGAAGAAAGTGGAGTTGTGTGTGTTTTGTTCTGGGGGGGGGGGAGGGGGAGGGGGTACAAGGTATGGTATAGAACAGAGTATTATAAGTAGTATTTATATTTATAATATTATTTTATTATTGTTATGTTATACACAATATTTTTCATACTATAGATGTGTGTGTCCCCCCTCAAGTTCCTCCCTTTGAATCAAGCAAAAACCTGCTTCTTGTTCATATTCTTCATAAGTTCTCATTGTACTGTTTTTTTCCTTTTTCCTTTATAGGATATACTGCAACTTAGTGATGAAGGGATTTCATATAAAGGGTGGGAAGCAAGGGACATACTTGAAATTAATCGCGTCAGGCATTCTCTCATAATTGCTTCCCGTGTTTGGGATCGTCGGCTTTATTCAATCCATTCTCTACTCAATAAGATCTCTGGCTCATCAACACCCGGTCTTTTCCCTTCCACTGACCATTGGGAAGAGTTCAGAAGTGACTTGAAATTCAAGCATGGCATCGTTCAACAAGTTCCTGATTGTCCTGACCACTGGGAAGAAGATTCTGTGCTGACCTGGGTTGAAGGTGAAAGAAGTCGAGAAGATTCCATGCTGACCTCACTTTCAGCAATCCTCTCTGATAAGATAGATTCTGCTTGGACCGGTATTGATCAATCTCCCCCGGAGCAAGATTTACCAGAAACAGCTCTTTCTGGTCAAATAACTCAATTCGAGCATTCTCCTGTTAGAAAGCTAAGGTCACCTGCAAGATTTCATTCCTTTGACTCGGCGATGAGGCTTCAGGACAGATTTAAGAAAGGGCTTCCACCTTCGTCATTGTACTTGACAGCACAAAGATCTTTTCACGCTTCTGGTGACTTCCGTAATATGATCAGAGACCCTTCTTCCACAGTTCAGAGGGCTTCTTGCTCTTCGCAAATATTATTACCCGGTGAGGCTCACATGTTAAACCTTTTACCAAGTTCACCAACTGCTTTTATCTCTCACAAATCCCTTCTTCCCGAAGGAGTGAGGTTGATGGTCCCACCACAGAAGGGACAGAATGGTGTTGTTATAGCTGTATACGAAGATGAGCCGGGTAGCATAATATCATATGCACTTTGTTCAAAGCAGTATAAGGACTGCAGTTTCAGTGACAAATATGCTAATAAGGAAAACCCTTCAGTTTCCAAGTTTTCAACTTGGCAGCCTTTTGCCCCTCTGGACTTGGACTACATCTATGGTTCAAAAGATCTCAAAAGTGCTCCTCATCTTAGGTTATCTTTCAGTGATGAATCTTCAAATGCTGTGAAGTTCTCTGTGATGTGTTACTTTGCTAGACAATTTGATGACCTTAGAAAGAAATGCTGTCCTAATGAAATGGACTTCATACGTTCTTTGAGCCGGTCTGTGAGATGGAGTGCTCAGGGAGGGAAGAGCAATGTTTATTTTGCAAAGTCGTTTGATGAACGCTTCATAATAAAACAGATTCAGAAGACAGAGTTAGATTCTTTCGAAGAGTTTGGTCCCGAGTACTTCAAATATTTGACACACTCTCTTAGCTCAGGAAGTCCTACTTGCCTTGCAAAAGTTCTTGGTATATTTCAGGTTTGTCTTTCTTTCCCTTTCCTTTTAATATACTTCAGTAGGTTAACACTTCATTTGCTTGGATAAATTTTGGGAAGAGAGAAGTCGGAGAGAATTTTATTTAGTTTGATTAAGGAGAAAATTGGGGAGGAAAGAGCGAAGGGAAAAGGACGGGAATAGGACTAAAACATAACAATGAGAACAAAATAGGACCTTCATATTTTTATCTCCAAAATAGGACCTATGATGCCAATACTGGCAATGTATACTACCAAAAAACGCTGTGGAATACCAATGTATAGTGCCAAAATTGCGTACATTGTCAAAGTGCACTAGTCATATTGTGGAGATAAAAACATAGAAATCCTATTTTGGGGATAAAACCTATGTTTTGGTCCTAGCAGGATAGATATCTTAAGAGAAAAAGTGTGGGGTCTACTTAAAATTAAAGTTTCTCCACGAATGGAGATAATTTAAAATGTTGAGGGCAAACTTGTCAACAACATTTTCTCTCCTTCCCTCTCTATCCAACGAAACAAGTGGAAAGAAAACTTCAGGCCATTTTCTTACAGGAGAAAACCTTTTCATTTTTCTATAAAAGTGGAAAACAGAAAGCGTCTCGTTTTTCTCTCTCATATATTTCTCCTTTACTAATTTCAATCCAAAGCCCTCATTGTATACTCTCATTTTCTACCCATTTTCTCTTACCTTCTTTCTTTCCCACTTCAATCTCCACCCACTTTCACTCTTGTGGGATCCAACTAGGTTGTTGATTTTGAGGAAATTTAATTTCAGTTTTTTTCCCCTTTCATTTTAGGTCTCTGTGAAGTACTTGAAAGGAGGGAAGGATACAAAAATGGATTTGATTGTCATGGAGAATCTATTTTATGGAAGAAATATTTGTAGGGTTTATGATCTCAAGGGCTCTGTACGATCCCGTTATAATTCAGATACAAGTACCAACAAAGTCCTGTTAGATTTGAATCTTTTACAGACATTGCAGACTAATCCTATATTTCTTGGAAGCAAGGCTAAAAAATGCTTGGAGAGGGCTGTTTGGAATGATACTTCGTTTTTAGCGGTAAGCCACTTGAGCTTTTCAATCTCTATGTATTAATACCTTCGTTTATTTAATATGTCTGCCTATTAAATAAAGAAACTTATTTAATAGGTATAATTACGACTATGCATTCATTGCAATGCCCTATCGGAAACAATCAATCATTTTTTAAACAGAGCCTGTTAGCTTTACGTTGTTGATAGTGAAACTAAATGATAGTAGTTCCAAAATTTGCTTCAAGATCCATAATTCAAAATCATTGCATTTCTTGTTACAAATGAGGATGTCTTAGAGTCCCACCCCAAAATATTAACACTATGTTTGGTTTAAGGAATTTGAAAGGGAAAAGAAAAGAAATTAAGATGAAAACCGTTTTTCTTCTTTGGTTAGAGAGGAAAAGGAAAGAGAAGTGGATCGAAAAGAAAATAAAAAGGTAAAATATACTAAGAGGAGGGAAAACTAAATTCCTTCCATTTTGGTGAGGAAAATGAGAGAAACTCATTTTCTTTTCTTTTCCTTCCTAATTGCTTGAACCAAACATAGTGTAAGTAGAAAATGACAAGTGAAAAAGATTATTTGTTGAACAGGCTAATCAATTTGATTAAATCTTTTAGTGTGGTTTATTCGAGTATAAAAATATTCATGGGTCTTCATCCACGAGTTTGTGTTTTTTGGTTGAGTTGCATCCTTTATTGACCTAAAATCACGAGTTCAGATCTCATTGCCATTCACTTTACAAAAAAAAATAAATTCCTCGATCTTCAAATACAAGCTTGAGATTTTAGTCGAGTTGTTTCTTTGACGGGGTTTAACCCAATGTATCTTGTGACCCATAGGCCATATCCCAATCCCTATGACATTTGATGAATGTTGTTGCCTTATTATTTCCCAGTCTGTTGATGTGATGGACTACTCTCTGTTGGTCGGGGTGGACGAAGAGCGTAAAGAGCTGGTGTTGGGGATCATAGATTTCATGAGACAGTACACTTGGGACAAGCACTTGGAGACTTGGGTGAAGGCTTCGGGCATACTTGGTGGGCCCAAGAACGCATCTCCCACCGTCGTCTCTCCAAAACAGTACAAGAAAAGATTCAGAAAGGCAATGACGGCATATTTTCTCACCGTCCCCGAACAATGGTCGTCCTCTTGACAGGTCATCTCTATTTGGTCTTATGTCATCAATCTTGAGGCCACCTTGTTTGTAAAATAGGGGCCAAAATATTTGTGTGCCCTTTGTACATTGTTAAAGATTCATGCTTGAAAACAAGCCCCCCTCCTTTAAATGCTTTTGTTTTGGAGGGTCTTTTAAAAGTATTTTAGGGTTGTGTGGATACATGCAACTACTACCACGGTGATTGTAGATGGGGGGAATGCCCCAGTCAAATTGGCACACATTTTCTGTTTATAATTTCTTTTTGCCAGCTCAAATATGTTACGGAGCACCTCTCAGCTTATTATATACTCCCTCTGTCTCAATTTAAATTGCTTGTTTCAGCTCACGATGTTTTATTGAATTTTAAATTATTGATATTACATTTATATCAAAACTCAATGTAAATTTTGTTGCATACCAATATCAATATTTACTAACATTTATTTAGATTAGTCAAATAAGAAGGCTAAATTCTGATAGGAGTATAACTTATTTGAAAAATTGGATGGAATTAATACACACACACACACACAACACACACACACACACACACACACACACACACNTTTGTGAATAGTAAATATGTAACTTTATAAAGAAGGGAGTATTATAGAGTAGTTAATTTATCTTACTTCTTCCGTCTCAATTTAAATTGTTTGTTTAAATTTAGGATGTCTATTTAAAAATTGGAGCAGAATTAAAAAATAAATCTACATACTAAAAAAATTAAATCAAAAGCTTTATAAAGTATGAATTGACATGATTTTATTATTTTATCAAATGAATAAAAAAATAGAGAAAAATGAAAAAAATCTAACTATATCAATAATTACAGACAGCTTAATATGGGATGAATGAAGTATGTTTTTGGGATGTATTTAAGTGGACAATAGAAAATGCAAAAGGGTATTGTTGACAAATTTCATTTCCTATTGATTAGTTGAGATTATACTTTCATTTATTTGATAGGAGTTTATCTTCCTATACATTGTAGCATAATGGCTTGAGTGGTAGTATGACCATTTCTTAGGATTCATAGAAAGTTCATTCATATTCGAGTTCTAGCGGAACTTATATCATTAAGTTGAGAATATTATAAACATATACTCCTTTTTTAATAGAATTAGTAGCATTCAAAAAAAGAAAGAATAGTGTCCTACCCAAGTTATGTTCACACCTGACCATGACCGATCAATCACACCTCCTTCCCACTTGGTTAAAAATAAATGCTACTCGGTACATGTGACTAACTTTGCGAGTATTAACTCTTTGTCTCATTTTAAATAGTGTGTTGTTATTTAACATATGCGAATAAAATTATATTTAAATTAATTTATACTCCCTCCGTCCCAGAGTATTCGTCCAGTATTGACTTTTGGAACTGTTCATCTAAGCACTTTGACTCATCAAATTCTCTCAATGTGTAAGTCTAAATATAGTCATGTGTGATCTTGTTTGATTTGTCTTAGCATATAGATTATTAATACTCCGTATATAATTTCTATAATTTTTTAATATACAAATTACAGGATAAAATGGATTAAAGAATTGCATTGGATGGAGTGTAAAAATGAAAGTGGACAAATACTCTATGACGGAGATAGTATAAAATTGATATAAAAATAAAAAGCAAAATCTATACATTTTAAAATTTACACCCTTAAATATTCAAAAGTTACAAAAAACTACTCCCTCCATCCCTGAGTGTTTGTCCACTTTCATTTTTGCACACTATCCAATGCACTTCTTTAATCCATTTTATCTTGTAATTTGTATATTAAAAAATTATAAAAATTATATATTAATAATCTATATGTTAAGACGAATCAAACAAGATCATACATGACTATTTTTAGGCTTACACATTGAGAGAATTTGATGAGTCAAAGTGCTTAGATGAACAGTTTCAAAAGTCAAAAGTGGACAAACACTCAGGGACGGACCAAGTATTATTTATTTGTGTATTTTGATTGATTATTTAATAGAATAAAACATGTTTATCACCTCTTATTTTATACCCCCTCAATCTTACAAAACCTTTCTTCTTTTGATTTTTAAAGGATTTAATGGGAGTATATTTTGGTGTTAACTTTTTACAAATGTCCTTGATCTGATGGATAAAAGTTCGGTGTGTTGAATAGATTAATAGTAAAAAAGTGTGATGTGGTATGTGGGTTAAGAATTAATAAAAATAAAAGTGACTTTTAATATAAATGAAAAAGGTGTTTTGGGACCGATGAAAAAAGAAAGGGAAAAGTTTTGTGGGACGGATGGAGTAAAACTTTTGACATAGTTCCTATATATGTAAATTTTATTTTTAATTTTTATACCAATTTTTAAATAAAATGATTTTAGAAAACTTGAAGTTTCGCTTCGTTGTACGTAAGGTGTAAAACATTTTGCTTTAGAAGGAGTATATAAAAAAATCTTCCGAACAAGAGATGTCATAACTATATTATTTTATCATTTGAGTTACAAAAGAAAATAAAGAAAATGAATAAAATTTAACTTTGTGAATAGTAAATATACAATTTAAATTGAGACAAGGGAGCAAATGCTAGGAGTTTGAGTAAACATACAATTTAAGTGGAGCGGTTCATTTATTTTAATTAGAATTTAGAGTCTCATTCGGAAGACAGGTGTAGTGGATTATAGAGAGTTAGAAATTGGATCCTGGTAACCTGAATCTAGATTAAATATGCTACGGCTACAAGCTAAAATAAGATTTTAGATAGAATTTGATAGTTAAAATTTGATACAAAAGTGTGGGGTTTTAAGACTAGAGTCTATATAATAAAAAATAAAAACTCTAATATAAACTTGTTTGATTTAGCTATTTGTAGATGTTTAATAAAATGTGGCGTAAAACTAGATGTTGCCTTTTTTTTATAATGAAAATTCCATTTTCGCCTTTATTTATTAAATTATTACCCTATGCTACTGTTGTTTAACATTTTAATGTCTGGTTGTATAATCTTGATTTTGTCTACAAAAAAAAAAGTTGAATAAGAAAATGAATCTGTGATTTTCATACATACTCAACATACACATCATAAAATTAATATATGCATATTTACGAGACACATAATACATAGAGTAATTATTAGATATACAAAAAAAAGTAAAAGCATCCAAATGTACAATATAATTTATGATAAGTTTTCTTGTTCTCTCTCACTCGTCCCTACACAAAATATTAAGCTAAACAAAGGCAGGGAGGGAATCACTATCCTTCTCTTTCTCTCTTCCCTTCACCAAAGCATGTCCCAATTTGGGATCACAATCATATTTTCTAAAAGTCGAGATGCATTTGGTCTTAAATAGAGAATTGGGTTGAATTGAAATTGACCATATCAGAACGGACCAGATTGAGCTGTCTCTTATAATGGGGAAGCTTAAGCTACATGTTGAATCTCTCCGAAGCCTACCCGTTTCTGCAAATAAACAATATACATTATGATTATTATTTCAAGACATATGCAATGCTCTGTATTATTTTATACTTTAGAAATTTAAAACAAATAAAAGTATTTGATATCCAATTCAAAGGGCATCAGGCCTAAAAGAAAGGACTCAAAAATTCAAGATCATAGCCTCATTGTAAAGGTTTTGTTGATCGAGGTTGGTGTTAGAAATATCGAATCGGTATGTGGATTCTCTCAAAGGCGTGTTGTCACTTTCAGATTGAAATAATTCAGCGGTTCACACAAATTTTTAATCGGATACAACTTAAAGAATTGAAGAAGTATATAGTATTATGTGATTTTTCGAACCAATATCTTTCGACCAAATCTTGCAAAGTTCTTTTATTTTTTTTGGACAAAATGTACAATTTTTATTCAACAAATATAGTAACCACTTACAGTCCAGAAATCAAGCTACTTTAGATTGTATAACGAAAAACTTTTAAACAAAATGTACAATTTTTATTCAACAAATATAGTAACCACTTACAGTCCAGAAATCAACCACTTAAAGTTCTTTTAGAGCCCACGAAGAAGAGGGACTATTGTATGTGTCTCTTTCTAAAATTTGTGTCTATTCACGCAAAAAGGGAGAGGATGTTTTATTTCTTTTCTCATGTATCCAAATCCAAAAATAGAAATTCAAACGAATTTTTAACGCAATATTTCAACCCCAGCCAGGGGCTTTGCCCCTTGGACCCCGCAAGGGCTAGAGCTCCTTGAACCTTGCTCTCGACAACGTTGCCCCTTGGAAACCCGTTAACGTATTTTAAGGGCAAAATAAGACTTTTATCATAACAAACTCATTGAAGTGTGCATTCCGCACTACCAGACTTCTTTGATTATTATTATAATAAGATTGGTCAAATAATCATTCTAATTACATTAGAATAAACAATGGTTGGCAGAACTAGTCTAGTAGCAGGACGAAAGATTTGGCCTGCATTGTTGTGGGCGCAAGGTCAGCCTCGTTTGGGTTGCCTGGTTGGCAAAAAGTATCTACAAGAACTATGGTTAGGGCCTGTTTGGTAATAATTCCGATGTTTAAGTTAGTATTTTGAAAATGTTATCTAGTGTGAGTATTTAGTTTTAACACTTAAAATTCATTTGCATCATTAAAAACAAATTTCATAACGTTAACACTAATTGAAATCGGTATTCTTAAACAAGGTCTTAGTCACACCAACTTATCCATTTAAACTGACCGCATGACTTAGTCACAAGGTTGTTCTCCCCGGTCTATGAGATGTTGATTCTGTATTGATCCAAGTCATAATCATTTAAGTATTTTCTACAAATAATTATGGAATCCAATAATATATGGAGTAATTATATTGTGACTCCTAAATAAGAGGTCGGATGTTCAAACTCCAACTCAGCATTCTCTAATCTCTATTTAAAGTTGCTCTCTTTCTCTCTTACAACTGGTTTCAGAATCTATCACTAACGTAATTAATCTTACACTTTCTATAAATTTTAAAAAAATTAAATTGGATAACATTTTTGGGAGGCAGGCTGAAATCCACTCCATTCGTCCTTAAGTAGATTATACACTGTTTTTAAATTAAGATAACTTTAATTTATTTATGTCTTTTCACTAATTATTTATCAGAGTTGAATATTCTTCTTATTTTGTAAAGGTTTTTGAAAAATAATTATTTTCCAATAATTGTTATGTGTGGATACAAGTGTGTTCGGCCCTCCTCACCAGTGTCATTGGGAGTATGTTAAATATATTTTGTCCATATTTAATATTATTTGTATATAGTAGTTACAATACCTGTATGGTAACATTAACTCCGTTTCCTAACATAACTAGGAAACTCCTACTATATAAACACTTGTATCCACACATAATCATTATTGGAAAATAATTATTCTTCAGTTTTTAAGTAATTTTTATGCAAGTTGTACTTTTTATTTTTATAACAAAGTTTAAATGATATTAATTTTTTCGAATGCGGCTTCCATACTAGGGAGTATTAACTAATCACAAGTTGTAACAAAATTAGTCAAAGACAAAGAAAAGTCAAATCATACCTCACCGGATTTTGGACCTTTCATTAATAAACCCGAATGCGAAGCCGGATTTCTAAGTAGACCCGAATCGTCTGACCCGACTACTCTCCCATTTTGCTCCACGCAAAACCGCATGATTTTCTCAACGGCCTCGCTGTCGCGATCGCCTTGCGTAACCAACTTTTCCAGCTCCGCCTTGGGGATCCGCAGCTTCAGCCGCACGCCGCCGTCCTCCGTCTGCTGACGCGCCGCCGCCGACGACTTCGCGGACGTCATATCCGACGCCGATCTGGTGCGAGCCAGCATCAAGCTCTCGAGCCGATCCTTGGCGCTCATTTGGATCCCGGACCGGACGCGCCTCGGAAATCTCTCCGCCGCCGGTAGCTGCGGCGGCGGCTCCACCAGGAAGTAGAGACGTTCGGGTTGCAGCTGTTGATCCGGCCTTAACGGCTTGGCTCGGATCCCCTGCTCCTTAACCGACTCCGAATCGAGCAAAATGAGGCCGGAATATTCTTTCACCACCTCGCCGGCGTTGACCGGAGTGTTGAATTGCATTGTCTGACCGTCGATTTTCATCACCTTCGCCGGCTTGGGTGACTTTATTATAGTATTTCTTAAACAATTTCCCATCTCTTAGAATTAAATTCTCTCTCTAGAATTACATATTCCAATTGGTATTTAAATAGTATGGGGTTCGTTAGGCGCCATTTTTTCCCAATTTTGACTTTTGCAACTTGTTAAACTTCAACTACGACTAGAACTTAAAATCTTAAATGACTCTTAATTATTCATTCTTTATACAAATGTTTTGTAATACTCTATGAAATTTTAAGACTCCACATTTGAAATTTTATGTCAAAATAAATTTAGAGAGTTATTACAAAGTATGATATTTCCTTGACCTCTCAAAAAGAAATTTCAATTTTCTTTTTCATTTGTCCTAAAAAATTATTTTTATCTGTATTTTAAATACTCCGTGAATTTTTATTATTCACTTGTAATTATTCAAAATTTTTGTCAATATTTTCTAACATGCTTTTCTTGTTTTCGACGAAATCAAAAATTCATACTTGAAGAGGGTAAAACTCTTATGAGATTAAGATCTAATGTCATAATATGTCATTGAATTCATTTGAGACTCATACGGTGCTCCACTCATTGGTTCCTATCATCATTAAATCTTTCAAACCCCGCTTAACCATCCCATGCACCTATTCTCCAGTCTTGCCCCTGTTATTTAATTTTATCTCTTTATGTGACCTATTCTTCGATGGATTCAGGGGGTCTAAGAAGTGTTAATATTGGTAAAAATTACTTTAGGATCGATCGAAGTATCATAAGGGCGTCAAATGAACCCCGTGTTCTAATATAAAGAAACTTCATTATAAGAATCGGGAAATTTTAAAGAAAAAAAATACTCCCTCCGTCCCACAAAAAAGTTCTCATTTTGAATAATATTTAGTCAAATATTTACACGCTTTGACTACAAATTGTGAGAAAGGTATATTGAATTATAAAGTAAATTTAATATAATTGGATTCATCCTAGGTCTAGTTTTGATATTTCAAATTTTTTTAGCATTTCTTTATTTAGATTATATTTAATTTATGGTCAAAGCATGTAACTCTTTGACAAAAAATACATCAAAATGGGAACTTTTTTGTGGGAGGGAGTACAAAACAGAAGTAAAACATATGGAGAGAATGAGAGATTCAAAACAAAACATTTATGCTCTTGCCTCTTATCTTCAAAATAGGACTTGTAATAGCAATAATACCAACAAGCATAAAGAAATGTCAATATATAATATCAAAATGTGACAGTTCAATGGTCTTATCCTAGATATAAAAATAGGTCATTCTTTTTTAAAAATGGGTCATGTTTTGCTCGTATTTTAGATATTTTGTTAAATTGTAATGTGTTATTTTCATTTTGTTCATTATTTATAATTTATGAAAAGTTAAAACACCTTGGTTAACTCCTATCTCCTTGTCCCTCTTGTACCACACTTCTGCCCCCTTCCCCACTTAGACCGTTGGGAGTTGGCAGCAAAATTAGCTGATCGAAGGCTAAGTACAGGACAAGAAGGTTAAAGATTAGAAACTACTCCTTTCGTCTTAGAGTAATCGCTCTGTTTGACTTTTTCGAGTTAATTAAACTAGACAAATTTTAATTGTCAATTACTCTCAATTTGTATTGCATATTAATACAATAAAATAAACTTTTGAAAGTTCAAAAGAAGTCGAATCTATTAAAATTACTAATATACATTATAATTTTTACTTAATTAAGGCTCAAAGTTTATCCAGTTTGATTCAAAAAAACACTCTAGGACGGAGGTAGTATTAATTTTAATAATAAAGCACAATAAGGATTACTCCGTATAACTTAAGACAAATGTCATAAAATGACATGAAAATCTAGTGTCAATATTAGCTTGGGGGGACAAATTATGGCATGTGAAAGCTATAATTAGTTCTACTCCTATGTGGCCACATAATTAATGTTGTAGACTTAGTGTCTCCTTCGCCCTTTTTAAAATGGAGTAAAAGAGAGAGAGAGAGAGACTTTCAACTTTGAACGCACCGCAGTGCTGCGTGTTAGGTTGGGCGTCACAAAATGTACACAAAGAAAATGTCTTCTTATTTTTTTAAGGGATTTCTCCCTTCCATATTTCTCAATAATAAAGAAAAAGTATTCCACACTAATTATAAAGTTTCATATGCAACACTAGTTGACACTAGCTCGAGTTGAAACTACATTACCACTAGAATTTTGGGTTACTATAGTATTCCGTTTGTAAAATTGATGATATTATCTCCTACACGCCTTCCCAAAATTCCACATCCCCCAAATTTAGCTCCTTTGGATGCGATCAACCCATGACATTTATTTGGAGATTGAAAAAAACTAACTACTTTTGTAATAGAGGTGTTGGATACGTTGCAGTCCTCTTGATATTCGTTCACTTTGAGTATTAATGAATGACACAAGCTTCAATTGACGCACTTACGATGTTCTACTCACAAAATTAATGATTCTTGTTCCACTTACCCCCTCCTAAACAATCCTTAGTCCTTCCTGTCGCCCCCTCCCTCATGATCCCATCCATATGCGGTAAGGGCAATAAGAGTCATTAATTTTGTGAGTAGAGCATCGTAAACACTCCAATTAAAGCTTGTGTCATTCATTAATACTCAAAGTAAGTATCAATGAGACTGCAACATATCCAACATCTCTATTACAAAATACGGAGTAGTTAATTTTTTCAATTTTCAAATAAATATCATGGGTGGACTCATACTATACATGCAATTCTCTAGCGAGGCTAGCCCATCTATCCTTATGTAAAGCAAGCCCAACACCAGTTAAACATGAGGCCCAAGTGCCTATAGTGTTAAACTACTTAGGGGCTGTTTGGCAACTTCTGAATCGGTAAGTGCTGAACCAGCAAGAAGTCTGAACCATTAAGAGCTAGTATATTGCTTAACTATTCAGAGGCAAATGTCTGATCAATTCAGATAAGAGGTCTTAACCATTCAGACTCTGTATAATACTTAACCATTCAGAGGCAAATCTCTTAACCATTCAGACATCTGAACCATTAAGAGGCTGAAACAAACAGTCTGAACCATTAAGTGCTGAACCATTCAGACATCTGAACCATTAAGAGGCTGAAACAAACAGCCCCTTATATTAGTCAATTAATTTCTGGACTAATGATTTTGTATTTCATTTATTTCTATTCTTTTTCATACATTACCTGTTCTAAGATTCATCAATCTTTGGAGCAATTAGATTAATAATGAGAACAAAAGAAAGCATAAAGAGAATTTTGGCTTACAATGTTACCGTTATGGTAAATTTCATTAGAACTGCTAACTTCACACATATTCTTAGCTACAAAGACAAAGTTGACTAATAATATACAAAAAATTACTTAGAGTAGGTTCATAGACTCCCTTCGGAGTAGGCTCATGAACTCCGTTTATGGAAAATATTTATTTAGAATTTATCAGTTTGAAAAAATACTTAATTATAAGAAAATACCAAAATATATTTCATTTGACTGATATTTAATGGATATTTTTGACAGAAAATTATTTATAAAATATATTTCAATTATAAAGTACTACGTTGATAATTATTGTTTATTGAACACTAATTTAAGAAAATATCTTATTAAAATGGACCGTTTTGAGAATTCACCCTATACATTATGGAAGACAAATTTTACAGCCGACAGTGCTTGGCATTGTTGCCGCATTTTATGGCGGTGACTCGCTATTGATTACTCCGTTTTGATTATGGCAAAACAATTGAGGATTTTTGTCCAAAGCTACGAAATTTGCGGGGACAGAAGAAAATTACACTAGGTAACTAGATCTGGTATATCGGTCGGTCAGGTCAGGTTTAAATTCAATCACTTCAGATTAAGGTTACTTTAGAGTCGGATCAATTCGAATTCGGGTTGAGAATTATATTTCATGATCCATAAAAATTTACTGAACAAACTTCAGACCTCAATATTTTATTCTCAAATTTAGAGTTACAATATTAATAATGTCAATATATAATTTAAAAATATGAAGTGTTAATATATAATATCACATTGTCATAATACAAATTTTTATTTTGAAGATAAAAATATGACTCCTATTTGAAGATAAGAACTACGAGTATGTTTTACTTTTATATATTTTGAATGACTTTTTAAGATCATTTGAAATTGAAATGACTACCAATGTTATATTAAGAAGTACTCCGTATAAAACTAGTCCATTTGATCACCTTATGGTGCTCCATTCGACTCTCAAGTAAATTGTGCTCCGCTATTAATCTACTAGATTTTTTTCTTTATTACTCCCTTCGTCAAAAAATAATGTTCTCATTGTGCGTTATGATGTTTAATTAGAGTTATTTTCAAATTATTTTATATAAAAAATTGTATGAAATTAAAAAATAAAATTATTACATTATAGTGAATTGTCTTGTTAGTGAAATGATTTTGGAGTCCTAAAATTCGCAGTGAAATATCGTATTATAAAAAATTTGAAGGACACCAAAATTTCAAAAGAAATACTCTGTATAACAGTAAAATGATTTTAGTGTTATACTAGTGTTATACCGACTTATACGGAGTACCTACGGTGAAATGATTTTGGTGTCCTAAAATTCGTATGTTTCAGTAAAATTGAAATTATTTTACATTATAGTGAAATGTAGAATTATTTTTAAAAAATTGAGTAAAGTTAAAATTATTCTCGACAATTTTTACTTTTATGTCTTGTTATTTTAAGATAAACAAAAAAGATTTGGGAATTTATGTAAATAGCACTAAAACATAATGACTTTCCCTAAATAGCATCACATGTGTTTTTTCTTAATCTAGCACTTTTAGTCATTTTCATTATTCATTATTCAAGTAAATATTAGTCATCACTAGGCACTATAAACATTATGAACTACTACTTAGAAAATAAAATAATTTAAATGCTATTTAAGAAAATTAGTGTTTAGTGCAAATATTACAAAAGTTTTTGAGATAAGAGAATTTACTATGCATCGGGCTGGGGAATATTTAAAAAGTAAAATTTACACTAAATAGGACTAAAACATAATGACTTTTCTAATGTAGGACTTAAATTTTTTTATTCCCTAAATAGGACTTAATAATGACCTAGTGGAAAGAATAATGTCCAGTAATGATGGACATTTAGTTAAATAATGACTACTTGATAATGACCAAAAGTCCTACATTGGGAAATAAAAACATATGATCCTATATTGGGAAAGTCATTAAATTTCTTATTTAAAAATGGAACACTTGTCTCGCGAATCTTTTCTTTCATATACTCCGTAAATAATTTCAATTCACTTTGACCCCTTTTACATTCCAATTTATGGTTTAAATTTGATCGAACAAATGTATTTTTGATCCTTAGAAAAATATTTCTATTATCTTTGCAGCTAGCGGCGGCGGCGGTCAGATATGGAAAGTCTGTTCTCCGGCGTCCTCTACTGGCTGGTGGACCACCCGGCCATCAGCCATTACGAGTGGAAACAAGGGCAGACATTCGGATCGTCGCCCGCATTTGTGGCGGCCGCCGTCACCGCTTACCTCCTCACCGCCCTCTTCCTCCGCCGCTCCGGCGACCTCCGGCCGCTCTCCTCCGCCGTCCTCCGCCGCATCACCGCCGCCCACAACGCCTTCCTCTGCCTCCTCTCCCTCGCGATGGCCACGGGCTGCTCCCTCGCCGTCCTCCGCCAGGTGCCCGCCGGGGACTGGTCGTGGGTCGTCTGCTTCCCGGCGGGCAGGACTCCGCCGCGCGGGCCCACTTTCTTCTGGGCCCACGTGGCGTACTTCTCAAAGATCTTGGAGTTTGCAGACACACTCCTGATCCTGCTCAGCGGGCCCCGCGGGGCCCGCCGCCTGACATTCCTGCACATGTACCACCACTCAGTGGTGGTGGTAACGTCCTACCTCGGCCTGGCAACGTCCCAGACGATGTTGCCGGTGGGGGTGGTGACGAACGCCGCCGTGCACGTGGTGATGTACGCGTACTACCTGCTGAGCGGTCTCGGGCACCGCCCGCCGTGGAAGCGGGCGGTGACCGAGTGCCAGATTGCACAGTTCGTGTTCGCGTTCGTGGTGTCCGGGTTGATGCTGTATTATCACTTTACCGGGTCGGGTTGCTCCGGAATATGGTCTTGGTGCTTCAATGCGGTCTTTGTTGCCTCACTTCTCGCATTGTTCCTTAATTTTCACAATGCCAATTACCATCCCAAGAACAAAGAGCCTTGATTTTATGACAATTCTTAGATGTGCAATTTAGTCTCTTTTTCTTTAGTTTCTCCATTCTCTCACAAGATCATGTCATGTGTATTGTCCAAGCAACTAATTACTTCCTATGTAAAAGATTGTCACCGTTTGATTTTTTTAGTTAAATTGTGACAGTTTTATCACGAATTATATATAGTTTAAAATAATTAAATATTATTAAAACTTTGATAATTCAAAACTATATTTAAAAATAAACTCAATACATTATAACTAATTTTTTTTTAATTTGTAGTCAAAGGCGCCAGAGTGTGACCAAAAAAGTCAAACTGTGGCATTCTTTTAGGGGCGGAAAGAGTATTGAAGAGAATTTTACCTATAAAGTGCTTAAACATAGCTATTCCATATTTTCCTAATTTAGTACCATATATTTTAATTTTTACAATGTAATATCATTATTATTCAATTTTTACTGGACATTATTCGAGTAAATCTCTACTGCCACTAGACATTATTTCTGTCACTAGACATTGTTCAAAAACTATTTAGAGAATAAAAAGTTTTAGTACTACATTGGGAAAAGAGATATGTTTTAGTATTACCTCCGTCCCTGAATATTTGTTATTGTATATTAATTTGATAAAAAATATTTTGAAAATATTTCATGTAAATTACCCAATTTCATAACCTTTGATTAAAATAACTTTAACACTGAACATTAAAATCGTATTTACCATAATAGGGAGTTCAAAGATGAAGTTTTGGAGTCCTCATTACCCCCCACTTAAAAGTTGAAAAAATTGCATAGCGAATCTATGTAGTATCCATATAGTATATAGACTCAAGAAATTAGTCAAATTACCTTATGGATGGGTGATAATTTGAATTCACATTTACTGCGTATATTACTGCGTATATTTCGGCCTTAATTTCACATTTACTTCTTATGGTCAAAGTTTATAAACTTTGATTATGTATATGGAATATATGTGTGTTTGTGTGCATACTCAATTTATGTATTAAAATTCATAAAATGAGCATGCAGTCATGGACATATGGCATATGTATCATAAAAAAAAATTTGAGAATAAAGGTGGACTCAAAATGAGAATATTGTCCAAGGGAAGGATGTCAATCTCAATAATCCTGGGATCAAATTCCGGCATTGATAGTGTGGAGTCCTATTATTTGTAATAGCTCTTTCTGTGTATCGGGCACGAGACAATTTCTCTAAAAATCAGATTAAGATTATGCAAAACATAAAAGGTCCCATGCTGCATTTGTTAAGAGTTGAATTCGGTCACAATTTTGAATTTTCTTCTATACGAGTATTTTATTAACCATTGAATTATGCCTCCAAGTCACCCTCAATTTATTTTTACTTCGCGACGTTCTTATTTTTCAATTGAATGGAAGAGGTGTCCTCAAAAAAGGCCTAAGCGGGTCGGTGGGTGAGGTAATTAGTTAACGGTCCAATTTCCACGACATAAAATTAGTTAACGGTCCAATTTCAATGTCGTGGAATAACATTAGCCTTAATTGAGGTATTTGCGGTGCCGAATTCATAAAATAAAATGTAAAACATTGTGAGACTGGGACAGAGAGAGTACCTTACAAGACCCATCGGCTGGTACAAATCTGGTACAAACGTATTACACAATATAATGTTTACCAGCACACTACTTTATGAATTTCTTCAACAAAGACACATTGAACATCCAAGAATTGTCTGTGCCCATCTGGGCTACCTTTGTGGGGTAAAAACATTTCACATTTCAAAATTACATGAATTGGAAGTATTGAAAACATAGGTACATAGAGAGATGAAGCTTGTGAACCTTAACATTCATTACAAGAGGTTCCAAAACATGTGACAATTAAATTTCAAAAAAATACCCACACACAAAGAATTCGAAGAGAAAAAGATTAAAAAAAAAAAACAAGTTGCACTATGGTGATTAAACTTACAAGAATTACCTCATCAGTTACATAAACGCATTGTCATCTCGCCATAATAGAAACCGGCTTTCGCAATGAGTTTTGAACCAAAGACTTCACACCCCGGGACGAAAAAGACGAAGAAGTGAGCACAATTATATATATAGATAGATGTATAGATACACGCGAAGCGACGAGAATGCCCTTTATGGTCTCTCATGCTTCTATTGTTACACCCTAAATGGAGATTGATTCAAGTATTAGCATTAAGAGAAGAGAAGAGGAGAAAGGGTAAAAGGTTCTTTACTGTGGCGCTTTGCGCAGGTGTTCCAACAACGATGCAGCCTTCCTCTTAGCCCTCTCTGTCCCATTCTTGGAGAGCTCAGCTAGAGGTATGAGTGCGCCGAGCCTACTAAGAGACGAAAGGTTCTCAGGGTCTCTCTTGCATAGGGAGAGCAAAATGGCGGCGGCGTTTTCCTTGTTGCGTGGAAGGCCAACCCTCAAGAGATCGATCAAAATGGGGATAGTGTTAGTGCTCGCTAAAACCGACTTGGCGTCGTGGTGGCTGACGAGGACAGAGAGAATGGTTAGTGCTTCGTCGACCATACTGCCGCTAGGGTCGGTCAGCATTCCCAAGAGGGCGGGAATGATGCCCGACCTCACTGCCCGGCCCTTGTTTCCTTGGTAAATGCACAGGTTGAACAGTGCTGTCGCGGCGTCTTTCTTCCCTCGGGCAGTCCCGCCCTGGAGGAGTTCAACTAGGGCAGGGATCGCCCCAGATGCGCCGATTATTATCTTGTTCTCGTCCCCGAGCGAGAGACTGAATATCGTTGCCGCGGCATTTTCCCTTGCTTCAGTGGTACCTAAAAAATGCATTGCATATTAATTCAATGAAATAATATGCAATTTGTGTTTAATAGAATATCAAAGTTTGTCCAGGTTGACTCGAAAAAACGGGATGAGCACTATGAACATAAGTACTACGTAGTATATGTAAAGGCCTGAGCGGAGGTCTATGAGGTACCTGCCCTTAGAACTTGAACAATGGAAGGAACAGCCCCGGCCAGCATGATCAGTGACTTATTGTTGTCATATATGGAGAGGTTAAGGATTGAAGTCACTGCATTTTCTTGAACCTCTCCGTCTTCGGCAGTCAACAGGTTGACCAAGACCGGGATAGCTCCTGCCTCGGCGATCAAAATTCGGTTTTCTGTGCTCCGTTTGGACAGGGACCGGATTTCAGACACTGCTGCCCTCCGTTCTTCGAGCGGCCTGCTCGAGAGCTTCCGGGTGAGTGCTTCAATGGCAGAAACGGCCCTGTTGGCCTCGTGGAGTGATCCGTCACCCTTCTTTGCCCTTCGGTTGATGAGGGTTGTGGGCTGCTGGATGTTGTGTTTTCCACACCATTGGCTTATGAGGCTCCGTAAGACGTAGTTAGGCGTGAGGGTAAGATGGTCAAGTTTTTGCCGGGTTTTCGGGCAGGTTGTGTTTCCACAGTCTATCCATTTCTGTATGTATGATCTCTCATAAGTCTGCATGATGAAAGGAAGAAGATGCAAGACCATCTTAGAAATGCTACTTCTTTGTTTCTGGTTGAAACTTGAAGGGAAGAATTTGCCATGAAAAGATGGGAAATGTCTTCTTTAAGGTGTTTGGTTGAAAGTTTGGAAAATGAAAAAAAACTAACTTTTGTTGTCATAACATCATAAAATGTGTTGAGTTTCGATCTAAGAAGTAGATGAATGGGGGATGATGTCTTCCGGTGAAAAAACAAAAATCATTTCTCCAAACAAGGATTAATCTTCATTGACTTCGAAAATCATTTTCCTTCGGCTCCTACTTTTCAAAACAACCAAACAACTGAAAATGGGAAAATAAATTTTGGAAGTCATTTTCCCCTTTCCAAAAGAAACCATTTATGGAAATCAAACCTCTTATCCCTCAATCGGTTTCAATATTTTGATATGGTTTGCCCCAAGTATCTTATAACCCAATCGAGTAACCCATTATGGGATCTTAAATTTTATCCACAGCCATAAAAGAAGAAAGTAGACAATTTTATTCACCTGCCCAGTTGCCACAATAACAGGGTCCCTCATGAGCTCCAAGGAAATGGGGCAAAGAAAATCATCGGGAACCGTAGCAGTTTTCTCCTTCTTGTTCTCTTCTACACTGCCTTCATCACTCAACTTGTCTTCTTCTCCTACACAACCGGAAATCCCCGGGACACATTCGTTGGGTTCCACGGATGACGACTTTGTCACACTATTGGCCAGAGGGACCAAAACACCACCCGACTTCAATCTAACCTCGGGATCAATATTTCCAGTGTTTTGTATGTGCAAACTCCCGATTGTCCGGTTGCTTGGCCAAAGCAGATCCAATTCTTTATCCAACGGCTCTGATAGCGTACGTGCTATTGTGATTGAATTCATTGGCCCACCGTATCTTTCCGTGGCTCTTCTCAACTGTGATCTAAGCAAGTGAATCTGTAGGGAAGAGAAAATTTTGGGTTTGTCAGGCCTTGAATAGAACTAGATAATGGATTATATTCAATCTTTTAGTGTAGATTAGCCCAAGCATGTTATGACTAAATCCTCTTGAAATTCTATTATAAAATTGGATAGCCATATCCAAACAATCCTTAATAATAAACTACTACAATGTTAACTAACCTGTTCTGTTACTTCCTCAGATATGTCCAGATGATCATAAGGTAAGTTCTCAAGGGATTTCTCCAGTTTCCAAGTCACACATTGGAATTGAAAGTGGATTTTCTTTATCACCCCATCCTTAAATCACAAGAAATAGCACATTTTGATGAGAAAATTTGGCCCAATGGAAAGAAAACTATAGTAAGCAATGTTGTACTCCGTAATGAAAAAAAATACGCTGCAACTTAATTGGGGTTAGACTGTGTAAAACTGTGAGATTCCAACCCAAAACCAATGGAACTCATTTTCTTATATATTTTGTTTTTGTCTTTGTTAGCTCGAGGGTTCGACGTGTGACTTTATATCCCCAACATCTCCTCAAGTACAATTTGGTTATTTTTTACTCGGGTTGTCACTTGTTGGATGTTCGATTTGAGACTCTATGCCCTCAACAGTCTCAATCTGAGTGCAAATGAGCAGAAGTATATTTAACAATCTTATATTTGAAAAAAAAAGTCATGAAACAGTATGCAAAGTTAATTAAAATTGATTCACCATAAGTCAACCAGTCACTAGAATGCAGCTAAAACGGTTTCACCACACACACATATGAAGAAGATGGTCTTAGGCCAAAGTTAATGATGGCCCCCAAAGTTAACTTGGATTGATTAAATGAAACAATATATTCA